TGATCTCAGATACTCAGGAGCAAGAGGTCAGGTAAGAGGGCAAGTAGGCTGGGGACAGGCAGTGGAATCCTATGGTAACTGTGGCATACTATGTAGGACCTGCCCTGTTTGCTGTTGCCTGGTAGAGATAGTTCACAACATAATCTCATTGGCCAAAAGCTCAGAACCAAAATGGATTTGCTCAAAATCAATCCATTCAAAGACCAGTTTGTGAACTATTGAGGAGTTTTGGAATTTTGAAGTTTTCTGTACATTCCTGCTCATGCCTATATCCACGCCCCTATGTCTGTCCAGGTCTTTGCACTGCCAAAGCCTTTGGGCACTATTGTGGATTTGGGTCCAAGTTCTTTTACTCTGCAGAAAGCATTGATTCATTGAATGTGTTGGGGCAATGGTTTTAAACACTGACTTACTTGTCAACATTGCGTAAGAGAGATAGAGTCCCTGGGACCAGACCTTACAGTTAATCTAGTGGTAGTGGGAATCCAGGTTTTAATTGGAAAGGTTCCATTTTTAAATGATGAACACTAATTCAAATTGTTTTAAAATAACACATATGTAGAATACTTAGTACGCATGAGGCCCTGAGTTCAGTCCTCTAGCACTGAAAGAAAAAGAAATAAAATATGTAGGACAAAACCACAGAACATGTCTCTGAAAGAAAACTTAAATCCTCCTCTGCAGCTAGAAGCTTTTCTGTGATGGTTACCAGATGGGAAATGAGAAACACTGGAAAGATTTGAATACCTTGAAAGGTGACAAAGTGCCTTCAGAAAATGTAGTATTTGGGGTTGGCAGAGTAGATCTAGTGGATCAAGTTGTAGTGTGCCTGCCTAGCAAGTATGAAGCCCAGAGTTCAAACCCCAGTAACTCAAGAAAAGAAATTATAATATTGTCAGGACTACCCTGTTAAGTCACCATGGTTGATACTTCCATTCTTACCTCAGAGAAGGTACTAGATTCTGAGTATAGAAGGCTTGGTGTTTGGTTTGTGGCACGCTTCTTGCTTATTTTTTACAGCAAAAAATGGGAATTGTCAGTTATGATGGATTGGCTGTTTCAGCTAGGTCATCTCAGTAATTCTAAAAGCATTATGGTATAGACTTCATTTTAAAGATTAGAAATACAAATCAACATTATGTAGTATTTATCCAGCCTCACTCTGGTAGCTGACTGTGGCATAAGCAAAAGGTAAAAGGACTGGCTTATTTTATCTTCATTAACAGGTGCTGTAGGTGTAAACTAAGCTGTTTTCCAGTTTTAAGATTGAGAGCACAGACTTAATAAAAACTGGTAAAAATTACTTGCCAGAATCACACAGGTAGTTAATGGTGAAACTGGAACTGTGGGCTGTGTCTTCCAAGCTCTTTCTTTCTTTTTTTTATATATTTTATGGTTGTTGCACTAGGGGTACATTGTGACATTTACAAAATTTCTTGCAATTTATCATAGTTCAATTCACCCTCTCCATCATTCTCCTTTATCCTCCTTCCCCCCATTCCTGAAAAAGTTTCAACAGGTCTCATTTTTCCATTTACATGTATGTGTACAGAATATTTCTACCATATCCATCTTCCAATCCACTTTCCTTATATCCTCCCTCTTCTTCTTCCTCTTCTCATCCCCCCAGACAGGACATGTTTTGCCTTCCCGTTCTTTGTTTTTGTAGGAAAAAAATGTCATTTTTTGTTTATTTAAAATAGCTATACAGGGTGTTTCATTGTGACATTTCCATGTATATATGTATTATAACCCGAATTGGTTCATCCCCTCTATTTTTCTTCTTTCTATCTTAGTTCCCTTCTTATTGTGATTTCAGTAGGTTTAAAAATTCTATATTCGTTCTTGTATAGGAAGTACATCAGCCATATTCGCCTTCTTAGTCTTTCTTTATTGACATGGGGTGCTGAGGGTCCCTGGTAATGTTAAACCCATACATTAGATTAAACAAAATGAAATTGCTGATGTTAGGCAATTTTTATCTTCCACAACAGCAATTTCATATGGCTGTTATAATAGGTACTTCATCTGTCTCCAGTCAATCTTAAACTAATTTCTAGAAAAAGGAAACTGAGTGAGTAGGTTATTTTGTATAGTTTCATTGATAAATCAACTAATCATTTATTAATTTAAGAATGACTTTGAACTTGAAAACTGAGGTCAGGCACTCACTGGGAAATCCACACTAAATTGTCAAATTTAAGGTGAAACTGTTAGCTGTGTCATAAACCTGAATGCCAAAGGTGAAACTGAATTTTAAATGATAATGCTTCAGTTTTATGTCACTGAACCTGAGTGATACAGTTATGAAATGACAATTTAAAAAGTATGAGTAAGGTGTCTTATCCTTTGGCTCCACTTTTTGGTAATTTCTTATTTATAGACATTAGCCTTAGTTTAACATCTGACTCTAAAGTGAACTCAGTGTTTTGGTATACCAGTGATTGGGAGGAACTGAAATGAAATTCAGTGATGCTTTATCTCTGGTTTTAACTCAGTGTGATTTGTTTTTAAGTAGATAATGGTCTTGTTTTCCTAAACTTCACCAGTCTTCAGTTAATGAAGTTAGTACCTTGGTCTAGTGGCACCTTCAAGGAAGGTACGGGACATTGTTTGATGTGACCTCTGAGGAAGTAGAAGATGAAGTTCATTTCTTGGTTCATACATATGCTAATTCTTCCTTTATCAGGGGTTAGCCCCTATAAAAAAGGCATATGGAATGCCTTCCTTCAAGGTGGTTCTTCTCAATTGCTGTGCCTATAAGTTAGAAGCCTGAAAGAAGTTTCTTGAAGAAATTGATGGATCACCTTCTGTGAAAAAACTAATGACTAGCTTAAAGCCACCAAAATGTGCTCACCAGATTCTTCTCTGGATCCTTCAGATTTAAACAATGTGCCCTTGGATCTGCTAGGCTTTTTTAAATTTGGATGTTCAAAGTCCCCCTGCTGACACACCTGTTACACCACTCTCAAAGAATGTAAATTTGATGAATCAAAAAAACACTTTAAAGAAATAATATTAGACCCTCCCCTCTTAACAGAAAAATCATACTTATGAGGATGAAGCTTAATGATAGAAGCAAATTCTTTATTATCTGTAGGTGTCTTGACTACCAACTTTTGGTCTTTTTTTGGGGGAAGGGGTTATGTAATAAAATATGTATGTTGTTTATCTAGGTACTGAGGTTAAACATTGTGGTGGATCATAAGTAACAATGTACATGATTTATTATTTTTATTATTAGTGTTATTATTGTTTACAAATTCTGCTTTACTAAACATAGAATTACAAACATTGGTTAGGATTTATGCAAGGGCCTCACATCATTTCCGGTCTGCTGGGCTTTACTTTGAAAGACATAAAATGGTCACTGGCATTTTAATGTTGATGTTTTTTATCATATTGTCACTTAATACTATTGGTCATAAACTATGGTTTTCAAACCTGGGTTATTCTTGAACTATCTTCATGATTTTATGTATATCATTACCTGTCATTATTTACTTAATGTTTTCTTTAAGGAAATGTTTAAAATATCTTTGCTTTTTAATGTAAAATTTCAAAAGGAAACTCTTAACACTATCATCATGATTATATTATTCCATTGATTGTTATACTAAGCTGCCTTCTAAAACTTCTAGTTAAAAATAAATCAGCCTTGTACTCTCTATACAAAGGTGAATCTAGAATTTCTAAATTGGTTGAAACCACCACAAGAAAGGGACTAAGGTCAAAAGAAGAAAAGTAGAGAAGATGAACCAAATTGGGCTATAAAACATAACCATGGAAGTGCCACAAGGAAACTCCCCATGTTAAACAACGAAAAATGTCATTTTTTTTCTTCTTCTTTTCGTGTACAAAATTGGAGAACAGGAGGACAAAACAGGTCCTGGATCGGGAGCACCAGTGGGAGGAAGGGGGAGGTGGGGGAGGGTGAATATGGTGCAAATACTTTGTACACATGTATGCAAATGGAAAAATGGTATCTGTTGAAATATCTGTTGAAATGCTATCTAGAAATGGAGGGAGGGAAAGATGAAGGAGAATGGTGGAGGGGGTGAATTCAAGTAAAATATATTTAATATATTTGTTAGAACTTCTGCAAATGCCACAATGTACCTCCACCCAGCACAACAATTAAAAAAGAAAACGAAAGAAATATTCTAGCCCCAACACCCCCCAAAAATCAGCTTTTTTTCCTTAATTTTGAAAGGCTCATATGTCTTAGTAGTTAGATTTTTCTATTGCAAAATAAAAAGATTCATATCTATTCAAATAAAAAAAAAAAAGAATACACAGTTCACTTAATATAACCAATCAAAACCACATAGCACACTGTATCGGGAACTAAACCAAACTTTGGGAGAAGTGTGAAGATGAGGAAAGGTGAGGATGACCATTATCAAAAGAGTGATCCCTTTGGTGCGCCACCACCAACAGAGCTTTCTGTGAAAACTTGGCAAGGGTTTCTTCCCACCCTGCCCGACCCTAAGTGTCAAGCCTGCCATTCAGTTTAAGAGGCGCCACGTGGTGTTCACTGCCCTCCTTTTAAAATAATGCCCTGGTCCCCTCTTGAAGAGGGAAGGTGACCTCAACTTTTGAGGGCTATAAAGATGTGGCAGTAATGAATTTTTATTTTCTGTAAGGCTCGCTCTAAATCAGATTCAGCATTATGTTGGTGGCTATATAGAAAAAGATGACCAATTGAAATTCAAATGTAATGAGGATGAAGGTTTGCTATTCAATTCAGCTGCCTTTGTAAACGCTCTAGTAGGTTCTTTGCACCAAGAGTGCAGCTTTCCTCTTCTCTTTTGCAATCACCATATGTAGCTGGGTAGGAAAGACATCTTTGCTAATCCATTTCAGAAATGAAATACAGTGTGTTCTACTTTTCCAGTTTCATTTGATTTTTTTAACGTACTGTGAGATTTGGATGAGAAGTCTTGAAAAAAAAAAAGTCTTCTTTTTGAAACATGCAAATGTGTCTCTCCATCACCTAGGAAACTATTATGGGACACCCAAACCTCCCAGCCAGCCAGTCAGTGGGAAAGTGATCACAACGGATGCCTTGCAAAGCCTTCAGTCTGGCTCCAAACAGTCGACCCCGAAGCGAACCAAGTCCTATAATGATATGCAAAATGCTGTCATAGTCCATGCAGACAATGAGGAGGAGGATGACGTTCCTGAAATGAACAGTAGCTTTACAGGTAAAGACCACACTGTGTGCCCCCCCCCCGCCCCCACTGGATGTGGCAAAAGAGGGCAGTGGGAGGCTTTTGTATAAGAAGGATGCTGTTCTCAAGAGGACTTCAGGAGGATTGCTAAACTCATACTCTGCCCACACTGAAGCTGGGGGAAGAGGTGTTCTTGTCCTTGGTCTATTTGTCATGCTTCTTCCTAGGATTATTTTAACGCCCTTCATCAAATATCTTAAAAGTAACTGGGGATAAATGTGTGAAAAGGGGAGTGGAGAAGGATAAGCCTGGTTTCTTTCTCTTCAGAATGGTGCAATATGTTTGTTTATTTTATTTTTTTACTTTGTTCATTGAGTTCCTTGACCTTGAAGCTTCCTCGTAAGTATGGCTGATTACTACCAGTTAAAAGATGAGAATTTATTAGTTTAACGTCAGTTGCTGCTGTGTAGAAGGCTAGCAGCATCCTCTTCTGTCATATCTTTGTAATACAAATATAGTAGAATTGTATCATGTCTTCAATTAACATGAGCAAATTTTACTATATACTCTAAAAAGGGGACAGACGGGAAAATAAATATTCTAAGGTCCTGTGCTAACTTGTCATTCTATATTATATAGCACAGGTTATTGATTGCATTACACAACTTGTAACTGAATTGAAAGCTATGTACCCCGAAGCTTAGATGTGATATACATTAGGAAGCAATGGTCAAGGACAAGGTCAGGCAATCTTCGTATTGCATGACTCCATGGGGTACAATTCAGAGGCCGGATGTGTGCTCCTGGCTTAATGCAGTGACCCAGAACATTCAAGCTTATGAGGATGTGAATTCATTGGATAACTAAAAATGTAACAACTGTATAAGATGTGACTAGCCCCAGTCTATAATGTGACTTAGAAGCCTGTCTTGTTTCTTCTATTTTTTCCTATATTTAAAATTTTCCCTAATGATTTTGGAGTTACAGCTATAGACATGTTATACGTTTTCAGCATGTCACCAAACTTTTGTCATTACTTGGGTAAACTGAGCCCCAGTAAGTCACGAGACTAGTGGACGTGTATCCTTGGCCCCCTCTTTTTCATGAAGTATATATATAACAGCATATTCAGGAAACCATTGCTATGGTTCAATACTGTCCACAGCCTGTGAGGGACTCCCTGAGGTTTTGCCATTTGCTAACTAAATTCAGAAGCCTAACATTTGTTAAGAGGACAATACAATTTTTTTGACTTTATTATCTTAACAATAGCATAGCTCAACCTTTTAGCAGGAAGTATCGGGTAAAAAAGGAAGAAAATTGATACTATGGTTTGGCTCTTGGTAGTTGTCTTACGAATAGTAGGCTTAATTTCATTCTTCTGTAAAATTACTGGCTAGGATTGGTTTCTCCTTGTAGCTCTTATGAAATTGAGTCCATGAAAATTTCCATTTTTTTTTTCAATTAATATGGGGTAGACCAATGGGTGACAACCTTTAGTTGTAATATCTATAACTTTGCTGTTTTTATATATGCTTTTATTAAAATCAACTGATTCATCCCTTGGGACTATTTCATGAATTTATTAATCCTCACCAAAATGAAAACATGGTAATGTTCCTTTTTTAAAATGTCTAACATTATAATGTCTTGTTAGTTCAGTAAATAAGAATGGCGGATCATGATATAACCCAAACATAGATGTGGTCATAGCAGCAGAAGCCATTGTGGGTAAGGTTCAGTGAAACAGTTCGGACTGTGTGGTCTCCAGGAAGCTAAAGTGCCTCTGTTTGCCCTCCTCTTACATACTAAGGAGATTTCTTGGTAGAAAGCAAGAGCAAAGTAGAGGTAGCTGGCCGTAGATCTTGATATATTTTATATTTCTAACTACTATAAATTTCTGTCTCTAGAAGCCATATCTCAGGAAATCTGATCTCATTATAATCCCCACTTCAAATTTTAGCATCTAAGGACAACATGGGCTAAAATCAGTCTGATCACTGGTTTACACACAAAACAGAAAACCAGGTAGAACCTGATTCGATTCTTCAAGTTCCTATGTTGACACCAAGGCCAGTGGGGGGGAGGGGGGGGAGGGAGAGGAAGAGAAAGAGAGAGGGAGGGGGGAGAGAGAAAGAGAAGGAGGGAGGGAGGGGTAGAGAGAGAGAGAAGAAAAGAAAAGGGAGGGAGAGACAAGCAGTCCTCCGATACATAAGATGGGACATCCTCAGTATGTAAGGAATATGTTGAGTGATGTCCCTTCACTTACAAAACTCATGATCATGATCTGCCATACAGTAACTCATAGTAATTGCTTCAGATAATTAACACTGCCCATTCTCTGATATATGTTTGAGAAGGTAGCTGTGTCGATGCATTTTGTACTCTGAACCACTTTAGGTTAGCAATCCACCAAGCCACTTTGAACTTAGAGTAACAGTGGCAGAATAAGATCTTGGCTCTGGTTGGCTGAACTGTGATGAAGGCATAAGAATGCTATCCAAAGGTAGAAATACTATGGATGCATTAAGAATGATACTTATCACACTGTTTCAGAGATTCTGCTGTTGCACTGTCTGTACTGCCCTTTGCTTACATCTCTTGAAGGAGTCATGACTAAATAATACACCTAAACAGCACTGAGCGTATCTGCTGACAGAGCCCTAGGGAGCCCAGTGGACAGCCAGTGTCCTCAGGAGGCAGCCCACCCTTCCGTTCTTCAGGGGATGCTGCACATGCTCCAGACAGAAGCTAAGCAATGAACAGAAACTCTCCAGGGGGTTGACTGTTGAACACCAGCCAAGGAGACCGTCTCCCACAAATTGTGCCCAAATTATGGAGCTAAAAGGAGCCATTGAAGGAGCACACTGTTTATGTGTACTTAATGAGAGTAGTTACCCTGTTGACCAGAGTACACAGTTATTCTTATAAACAAGCAAAAGCTTTTCTAAAAACACTTTGTTATGGATAGCTTGGAGACTAGGTAATAAACCACCACAACTAAAAAGTCTCTGGTTCACCCATTGATCACATCCAGGAGACATCAAAGGGTTATTTAATCCTGTTTCTAGGCTTTTCTTCCTGGCACTCCTCCCCCCATTGTTGGTCATTTGCTTGCTGACTTCTTTTTCCTTGGTAAGCAATGCTGAAGGATTGCTTTGAATGTGAAAAGGCGATACTTACAGGCTAAGGTTTCTGTACTCCTAATCACTTGGAAGACACTTTTCTAAACTCTCAGGACAGCCACATAGGTTCTCCAGTATCACAAAGCCCAGTGCCTGTCAGAGCTGCCAGGCCCGCCCAAAATGTGTTTTAAATCAGCTTTATCAACCTAGGAGGCCGGAACCATTTCTGACTGATTTTGCACGGTGAGAGACACATGTAAATCTGAAAGCATAGACAATTTAAGATTAGCCACAGAACTTTTTTTTCTTTTGGCATAAGCTTATGTCCTCAAAGTCACTTCCAAAGACTCCAGTTATGTTTGGGAGAGGGCAGAGGAAGTAAATGCTTGGAGGCTTCTGATTTACTATGAATAAATATCATTTGTGTTCATTTGCAGTTGACAAACCAGTTTCATATGTATCTGCTGAACCTCCTAGAAGTCTTGAGAGAGAGAACGCTAAAGGATAGTGCATGTCACACTAGGTTTCCTGTCTCCCTGTCTGGGCTCGTTCTAGCATTCCATTCTACTGTCCTCTGATTTATTTGATTTATTTGATTTACTGGCAGCCTTTAGTGAGAAGGTGATAAATTAAATGAAAGGGGTTTTTTTTCTTTTCTTTTTTTTTTTCAAATCCAAGCATGTATCAAAGTCAAAGCCATGACTGGGGCTCTGAACTCTTGAGTCTGCCCTACGTCTGCTCCAATCTCTCATTTTTAAACTTCTGTTTCCTTTCAGAGAATAAGATTGTTGGGCTGGGGCTGTAGTTCTAGTAGAGAGTTTGCCTAGCATGCATGAGGCCTTGGGTTAGATCCCCAGCTCCTTCACCCCTCCCCCCCAAAAAAAACAATCATTGTTTAAGGTTCTGTTTAACTGGGAGGAGGACCAGTAAAGTAAAACCAAATACTTGTATAATTTAAAATATGGCCCACTTTTTTCTTTTTCTCAAGGAAATTAAATTTACTTTGATATTTTCCTACCAAGCTACTATTTCCTACATGTGGTTGAGGTTTTAGAACATTGGCAGGACATTTTTCATAAACATAAATTATAGATAATCAATGTTAAAGTGAGACCGTCTCTCATCTCATATGTGTTGACCCACTCATTACTGGTACCCTTTTCTCTTATATCTAGTTTCCACTAAAATAGTTTAATTAAAATTTAGCAATGAAATCATTCAAAAGGCAGTTTGCTATCTTTTCACTATCATGTTAAAAGATAAACACAAGCCAGGCATAGTGGTGTACATCTGTAGTCTCAGTTACTTGGGAGGCAGAGACAGGAGAATCACTTCAGGCCAACCTGGGCAGCATGGTGAAAACTTGCCTCCAAAAATAAGCAAACAAACAAAAAGGCAAACATTGGGCTGGAGATATAGTTTGGTGATAGAGTGCTTTCCTGCCATATGCAGGGTCCTGAGTTCCATCCCCCAACAATGCAAAAAAAAAATCACAAACATGGGCTTTGGACATTTGAATTTCCAGTAAGAGGCCCCACTCCCAAGCATAGCTGAGCACACACTAGGTGCTAGGCACTTTTCTAAGCATTTCTTATTTATTTGTATATTTATTCATTCATTTATATATTTCTTGGTGGCACTGGGTTTTGAACTCAGAGCCTTGCACTTGCTAGGCAGGCATTCTACCACTTGAGCCATGCCTCCAGCCCTTTTTTGTTGGTTAATTTTGAGATAGGGTATGGCTTCATGCCTGGGGCAGCATGGACTGTTGTCCTGTTTGTGCTTCCCTATGTAGGCAGATGATAGGCATGTACCACTATGCCCAGCCCTTGGTTGAGATGGGGTCTTGCAAACTTGAGACTGACCTCAAACTGTGATCCTCCTAATCTCTACCTCCCAAGTAGGTGGGATTACAGGTATCAGACATCATACCCAGCCTCTTAAGCACTTCACATCTGTGGAAGCATTCTGTGGGTAAGTGGTAAAGACAAAATTCAAACTTCACCACATGGCTCCAGAGTCAGGGCTGCATGCCACTCCCTTTCAGATTTTGCTTGTGTAACATTCGTTGTCTTTTAAAGGAGTTAGGATTGAAAAAACTGGGAGATTACACATAAAAATACAGACTTCCTTCTTCTCTTGAAAAAAATCAGAAGTGTAAGGTCCTGAGTCCCCTTTATTCTCTAGAGCGTGCCTTCCGATCCCCTCCATGGGAGATACACTCCCTCTAGAGCCCCATACAGAGTCATCGTGTTTGTGTCTCTGGCCTTAAGCACTGGGCAGAGAAGTTTGCACCCCGCTCCCTAGCCCACTGGCTGCAGGGGAACCCTCTCTAGAAGCCAAAAGTTCTAGTGATTCTGGAACATGGCAGGTTCAAACCCTGAGGAAGTAAATCCCAAATGAAGTGAAGACTTTTTAAACAACCAGTGTGCCACCTCACTATTTTCTTTCCACCCTTTGGAGAACTCATTGTGTCTCTGTCTCAAAATGTGGTTCTTGTATCTCTTGAGTCTTCATCCCCTTGGTGCTTTAAAAATGGACATGGTTAAGCCTTACCCCAAACCTGTTCTCTAGGTGGGGACCCAAGAGTATCCATTATAATGATCTTGATGTACACTTCAGTGTGAGAGTGTACCCTCCTGAAGGGATGTCAGAAAGGTATGATGCTTCTAGTGAACTAAAGATGAGTTATTTGTGCTCACTTTTACTTTTATTTTGTTATTTATCAAAAATTTGAGAATACTTTTTCCATTTTGGCCTAATTTCCTTTCAGTGCTTTCAAATCTATAGCTATTCTACTAACCTGTACTTATAGATACAAGTTGTAAAACCAACTCATGCTGGTTTAAGCAGGAAGAATAGAATGATTGAACGGGGTAGGAGTAGCCTTGATTTCAGGTATGAGTCAGGGATCTGTGGGGTATGAGTCAGGGATCTGTGGTATTCTCCAGTGTTCATCTCTACCTTCCTCTACATGAGTTTCATTCTTAGGTAGTTCTGGAGAAGCCATGTCAAGGTAGCCACTAACACCTACAGTGTAAGAGCCTCTCAGCTCAATAGCCCAATGTCAAGAGGGCACCCACTTGCTCAGTAGTTCAGCAAAACTTCCCTACCTGATCTGCATTGCTTTGCCTTGATATCATACCAACTCCTGAACCAATCACAGAGAAAAATACTAGAGTATTTGCAATTGGCAAAGCAGGTTCTTAGAAGCAGAAGTTGGTTTGTGTCAGTTTCCACCCGAATGGAAGGAGTGATTTCCAAACAGAGGCCTGAGACAGAAGACATGCACAGCAGGAATAACCTATAGGTAGGCTCCTCAGTGGATCTGAGTTTTGGTGGAGTCTTTGTTTTATAGGCTTGCTGTGCCTCTTATCCAGTATTGGAATTATCTTCATTCTCACGTGTGTCATTGGGAGCTTCTCATTGCAGACAGTGTTTGAGAACAGCCTTTTATTATTCTTCACTCTGCTTTCACTTCATCAGAAATGTCTACAGGAGAATTACTGTGGGAGATAGAAAATCGCTACATACCCTGATTATTATGTTTTAAAGCCCCATGGAGATTGACATTTAATATCAGCGAGAAACAAAAATTCAACCAGAATGTCAGCAGCTGTTTGTGGATACTTTGATGACATCACCCCTGATGTTTCTAGTTAGTAAAAAGGCAAGGAGACTCAAGCACGGAGAGTCCTCTTTTAAGACCCAAGTCCTATCAGTCCTCCCACGCAGTCTGTTCTGGGGTAACTGTCTTGGTTTTCATAGCAAGAGTCTCTTTAGTTTTCCAAAAGAGGTTCAAATGTGACTCACTAGTAAAACTGTCTCCATATCCTGAACTTTTATATCCTTTTCAGCTTCATTTGTAAATCTTTGATCTTGGGAGTGTCTACCAAAAATGTTTTAAATAGCTTATGCAAAAACGCATAAAAATGCCACTGTGTCTGGGTTTTCACTTGGGCTTCTTTTCTGAGTCATGAAACTAAGTAATACCATTGGAATGAGAGTGAGGTCAGTCTGTATTTTGATGACCTTCCTGGTTTAAGGTTTAAGGGTCTTTAGAGTTTGCGTTGTTCATTGGTTTCTTCGGAACCATTTCCAAGATTGTGCATTATTTGGCTATATTGTTCTCATATCCTTTCTTTTTAAGTAAAATAAGTTTCATTAGCCTTTTTTTTTTCAATTTTGATGCTGTGGATTGAATCCGTGACCTTATGAATGTTAAGCACACCCTTTACTACTACATTTCATCTTTAGCCCTGTTGGTCATTTTGGTGCTTTCTAGTTAAGGAACACTCATCTAAGTAAAATAGATAATCAGAGTCAGTGACCAGTAGGCTAGGCACAATAGTTCATACCTGTAAGCCAGCAAAGATTGGGAGAATGGAGGTTTTAGGCCTTCCTGGGCAAAAAGTTAGTGAGATCCCACCAACAAGCTGGTCATGGTGGTGTATGCTTTTCATCCCAGCCATGGAAGAGGCCCTAAGTAGAAGGAATGGGGAAAAGCACGAGTCCCTGTCTGAAAAATTACTAAAAGCAAAAAGGACTGGAGGTGTAGCTCAAGTGGTAGAGCACCTGCCTAGCAAGCACAAGGCTCTGAGTTCAAGCCCCAGTATCACCCCCAGTAATAATAATTAATAATAATAATAATATAGATGTACCAGTATTATATTCCCGGGATGAATAACTTTGTATTTATTTTTGTCTCTCTCTCCCCCACACCTCATGGAACAGCCGATTCTGGTGACCAGGACGAGCACACTCTCCAAGAAGCCACACTCCCACCTGTGAATAGTACTATCATCGCCGCTCCCATCACGGACCCTTCTCAGAAGTTCCCTCAGTACCTACCTCTTTCTGCAGAGGATAATTTAGGTCCTCTACCTGAAAACTGGGAGATGGCCTATACCGAAAATGGAGAAGTCTATTTTATAGAGTAAAGTATACCATTCTTGCTACCTGAATCTCTTCCTCTCTTTCTTTTTCCTTTCTTTCCTTGTTCTATCAGCTCAGATAGAAATTAAATATGAAAGAATTGACCATCACGGATGTTATTTTTTTCTGAGATTTAACAAACTTTGTAGTAGAAACAGTATTTACCCATAGTTTAAAGCGTTTGAGGAAGTATAAAGTTAACCATTTCCCCTAAAGGGCTAGTCAACTAAATCATGGTATCTGTAAGTTATGTTGTCATATATAAACAATATATTTGACCATTAAGAATAGGAAATTCTTTGCTCATTATTTCTTAATTGGGTTGTAATTTTCTTATAGTTGAGCATCAAAACTTTTTTATATATGCTGGATAGAATACCTTCATTGTATTTATGACTTGTACACACATTTTCTCCAAGTCTGACTTTTCAGTGTCTTAACCGTGTCTTTGAAAGAGCAGAAGTTCTTAATATGATCAAGTCTAGTTTATCCTTATTTTCGATTGTGCTCTTGGGATAATAGATAAGAAATCATTGCCTAACCTAAAGTAAAAAAGATTTTCTAGTACATTTCCTCTAGAAATTTTACAGTTTTGCATCTTACATTTAGGTCATTTTAAGTTAATTTTTTTACATGGTGCAAGGGTGTGAATTGAAGTTTCAGAAATATAGATGTGAAAGCCTTTCAAAATTATAAAACTTAAATTCTATATACTTAAACACTGAACAAGGTAACCTTTACAAAAAAGGGGAAAAAAATGCCTGCAGTGGAAATTGTTCTTGGAAACCTACACTTGATTCTCCTAAAAAGTAATATTCAATTTTTTAAATCTCTGCTTTGACTTTATTATCTTGTCATTGAGAGTCACCATTTTTCATGAATCATAAAAAAGAGAAAAAGGCCAGTTTATACTCTTTAAGCAGTAGTGCAAGGCATTGGGTTCTAGCCACAACATATAAAAAATAAAATAAAATCGTAGATAAATGTATAGTCCCCATAGAATGAAATTGACAGTCTACTGTCAAGAAGACAATTACAAAAGAGGGGCATTGCAGAAGAATATATGAAGCATTTCAGTCTGTAAAGTATATGCCTGTATAGACACACGGGCTCTGTGTGTACACTATAGGTACACATTTATTTCTGTGACTATGTGGATATACTTCTATATAGGGAAAAATTCTGGAAGTATCTTCTAATGGTTGAGTTTAAGGAAGGAATTGATATGTAGCATATGAAAAGCAATGAAAATCAGAAAATATAATTTCTCTATAAACACATGGGAGTGAATGAGAAAGCATGGGTCTTAGAACAGTCTCTTTGAGAACCTGCCTGGGAAGAAGTGTGGAGAGAGAAGGGGCAATCCATGTGTCTTTCTTAATGTTAATGACTAATGCTTATTAAAGATGGGTATGGAAGATATCTTTTCCTGAGAGTCAGAGAAGTATAGCGGTTAACACTTAAAAAGTCACATTGTTATCACCACTACTAGTTGTGTGACCTTGGGAACTTGAGTTTATTTCTGCATCCCAATTTTCCCTATCAGGAAATGAGGATAATACATGGCACTTACCTTCTCAAACTGTTGGGGAAATAGAGGATATGGTAGTGTAAATTAATTGGGTGTGTAATAATTAGTGACCAATAATGTTATTCTTGCCACTTTCATCATCATCTGTAGTTATGACAGAAGAATTTTAACATTGTTTTAAAAAATTTGTCAAAAAACTGGTTTCCGCCAGAAGCCCAGAACTTTGTACTTAGCTTTGGTAACAAATTGCCTTCAAAATTATGTCCACCAGTAAGAATTATTCTGGGAAAAGAGCAGTATAATAGAGGCATTCCTGTTACAGAATGATGTGTGAAAATCAATGCTTAGACAAGAATGATTTTGTCCCAGTCTGAGCTGGTAAATTTTTAGAAAAGAAATAGGCCCCCAGGTATGGCTGGCTTACAGGAGAATGCAGTAAGTTGCTTCTTCTTCATAATTCAATTTAACTTTTACTTGATATGAGGCCAGGGGTTCATTGGGCTGCTGTTTAGAAAATTTTACAAAAATGTGGCTTATGACAAGTATGAGGTTTGTTCTCTAGCTCTCAAATTCAATAGGGACTATCTGTATAATACTATTTTCAGGTGGGGATACATCTCAGTGGTATGCATGAGGCCCTAGGTCTACAAAAAATTTTTATACATGTATAAAATTATTTTTATACATATACCATTTACATGGTGGTCTTTCTATACTGGTTACTGAGTTTTCAAGTGTCTTTTACTTGGCAAAACAACTTCTTGGAGTATTGTATGTGGAATAGCAAGTTAAATTAGAATTGGATCTATTTTGTTTTATGTATGTGTGTATTTCCATACATATATTTTACAATTTTGAGGAAGTCTAAAATACTATATTAGTTATACTATATTACTAAAACACTGGAAATTAAAAAGAACATTAAAAAATCAAGCATGAACCCAGAAACCTTGGACATCTATAGAAAACAAATGTACAAGGACCTTGAAGGGAGAAGCAAATGAAGTAGACTGCCTCCTAGCTAGGGATCAAAGGAGGGTCCAGGTAGGTCATTCCTGAAGAAGACTGTGGTGAAACTGGTGCTTTGGTTGCAGTGAGGTGGGAAGCAGTACTGCTCTCCCTACCTGGATTCTGAGACCACATGAGAGAGTCTGGACCTCTACCCCCACCTGGAAGGAGGAGACATCAGTTTCTCCCCTCTGGGGTGTTGTCCAGAGAGGCTGAGAGGAGAGTCAGGACTTCTACCACCATCCCTTAGTAGTGTCCACCCTCTCCCTGTGGAGTAGTGAGGCCCAGATGGGATTAGTGTTAACATTCTTCTTCCCTTCCCAGCTACCATGGGATCAGGAAAGGCCTTGTCGGGGGATCTGGAGGACCCTCCCCACCCTCAAGTGACATGGCACCCCTTCCCTGTCCAGTGTCACCTGGAAGTAATAGGTACCATTCCCTTTCTTCTCTGGAGCAGTGAAAGGGAGAAATATCTAAAATAGTTTTTAATAAAATTGAGAATCCTATTATACCTAAAATGTCCAGGCCATTTACAAAGTCACTTTTCTACCAAGAACCAGGAAGATCTTAAATTGAGACAAGGCAATCAATAGATGTCAACACCAAGATGACAGCAATGTTAGAATTATCTAACATGATTATGAAAAGTAGGCATTATAGCCAGGTGTGGTGATGCATACCTGTAATCCCAGCGCATGGAGACTGAAGCTGGAGGATCATCAGCTACATAGTGAGACCCTTTCTCAAAAAATAAAATCAGTTGAATAAAATAAAAATAAAAACCATTGTAAAACTATTTCAGTGAATAATTGTCCACATTTGAAACAAATGGGAAAATAGGAAGCTTCTACAAAGTCTCACCAAAGCAGAAGACAATATAAAAATAGAAAATTTTAACTCAAAAATATAATAGTTGAAGTAAAAAGCTCAGTACATTGATTCAGCAGTAGCCAACTGTTCAACAGTAGAATAAAAGGGAGAAAGGAAGGAATCCATGAACTTGGAGATAGAAAGTAGAAATTATGTAATCTGAACAACACAAAAACTGGGGGTGGGGGGGGAACGGAAAAGAACAGAGAGCTTCAGGGGTTTTTGGGTAAATAACGAGAGATCTAACATTTGTTATCAGTGTCCCAGGAAAAGAGAGTATGTGGGACTGAGAAAATAAATTGAATGAGTATTTCAAAATTTCCCAAATTTGGCAAAAGAAGTAAAGAATTCAAGATTCTGGGTAGACTCAAAGAGAATCAGCCCCCTTCCCAAAAAAACTACACCAAAAAACAATACATCATAGTCAAGTTTCTGAAAACTAAAAACAAAAATCTTAAAATGAGCAGAAGAAATGACACCTATTACATGTAAGTAACAGTCCAAATGACAGCTCACTTCTTTTCAGAACTAGCAGAGGCCAGAAGGAAATGGCAACACATTTTGAAGGTGCTGAAAGAAAAGAATTAACCCAGTCTTCTACATCCAGTGAAAATATCCCGCAGATTGAAGGGGAAATCAAAATACACATAGATGGAGAGAAACTAAGAAAATTTGTCACAAATAGGTCTATCCTAAGTAAATGTCTAAAGGCCATTCTCTAAATAAGAAGAGACTGCTCAGAGAAATAATCTTGGAACATTAAGAAGGGCGAAATAATGAGGAAGTGAAATATAGGTAAATAAGATACATTTGTCTTCATCTCTTGATTTTTTTCTAAATTAAGTGTGAGGATCGAAGCAAAAATAACACTTAATATTTTTCCCAAGTGTATGTGGAAAAATATTAAGCTAATTTTATTTTATAAATGAGGAAGGGAAAAGCAATATAAATGGAGATAAGGTTTCTGTGCTTTAAGGGAACTAGTGAAATGATGATTCCTATAGATTGTGATAAGACCTATATAAAGTAATACCTAAATGTGGTAAGATATATTTAGCATTTATGTGATGCATATGTTTCACCTAAAGCAGCCACTTCAAAAGCTGTACAGAGATACAAGTAAGAGCACTATAGATAAATCAGAATAGATTTTTGAAGTCAAATAACCCACAGGAAGGCTGGAAAAATATAAAACACAGGAAAAAAATGAAAACAAAAACCAAAGTAGAATACTTAAATCTTTACATTATTAACAATTATATTAAAATGAAGTAAATATGGTAGTTAAAAGAATCCCAGTGGATTAAAACATATGATTCAATCATATGCTATCTCCAAAAGACTTATTCCAAATATAACAGCTTAGGTATCTTGGAAATAAAAGGATGGAAATTTTTATCTTGTAAACATTAATCAAAAAATACAAGAGTTGCCAAATTAATACGTGATAAAAGAAGAAAACATTCAAGCATGTGAGTCCTAAGCAACAACACTTCTAAAAAAGCCTGAGATTCAAAAAAGTAGTCTCAAGAATTTTTTTAAAACAAATGAAAAAATAGTGTATCAAAATAGGTGTGCACAGTCCAATCAGTGATGAGGTGTACATTTGTAGCATTAAAAAACATATCTTAGAAAAGAGAAAAAGGCTAAAGTTCTTCCCTTAAGAACCTGGAAAAAGATTAAACTCAAAATAACCAGGTGGGAGGAATCGAAAAGAAATGAAATTGAAAACAGAAAAATCCATGAAATAAAAGCCGGTTTTTCAAAAGATCCATAAAATTGATGGCTACTTAGCAAGACTGACAAAGAAAGAATGAGAGACACATTTGCCTACATTAGGAATTAAGTAGGGAATAAATGCAGACCCTAAAGACATCCAGAAGATCCAACAGATTTATACACACAAAAAATTACCAACTTAGATGAAATGGACCAATTGCTCAAGAGTCACAGACCAGTGCAACTCAACTAAGTAGTAAATCAAGCCGGGCGCCAGTGACTCATGCCTGTAATCCTAGCTACTCAGGAGGCAGAGATCAGGAGGACTGCAGTTCGAAGCCAGCCCAGGCAAATAGTTCGTGAGGCCCTATCAAAAAAAAAAAACCATCACAAAGGCTGGTGGAGTGATTGAAGGTGTAGGCCCTAAGTTCAAGCCATAGTACCACAAAAAAAAAAAAAAAAGTAAATAATTTAAATACCCTTATAACGCTTAAGGTAAAGAAATTTATAATTTCAAATTCCTGAAAAAGTCTTAGACCCAAATGGTTTCACTGAAGAAGGAAAAATTAATACCATTTCTTCAGTCCTTTCTTATATATAGAAGAGGAGGTATACTTCACAGTTGTTTTTGTGAAGAAGGTTTTGATATCACATTGATATCAAAACTAAACAAAGAGAACAAAAAAAGGTACAGATGAAACAATCTTTAACAAATATTAACAAGTCATATTCAACAAAAACTATTTCTGTGACTAAGGGGGAATTATTGTAAGGATGCAAGGCTGACTCCATTGCACTTGCATAGCATGTGCAAGGGTCTAGGTTCAAACCCCAGCACTTCAAAACAATAAAAGAAAGAAGAGTCAAGTCAGTGTAACCCACCATATTAACAGAGTAAAGGAAAAAAATTAGACCATCATGTTCGTAGCAGAAAAAAATTATAAAATTCAACTCTTTTATAATAAAACTCAGACAAAACACAGCAGTTTGATTTGATAAGGAACATAAATTTTAAAAAAACCCGTAACCAACATTATACTTCATAGTGAAAGAAGAAATAGGACTCGGGACATGGCTTAAGTGATCAGTGATAGACTGCCTTGCCTAGGATATACGAGGCCCACAAAAGATGTACCTTCCTGCATGTTTGAAAACAAACCGAAGATGTCAGCTCTCTCCACTCTTCTCAACATCATGCTGATGCTGAATGTCTAGACGTGTTCATAAAGCAAGAAAAGGACTTAAAAAGCCACAGAGATTGGGAAGGAAGAAATAAATTCTCCCTACATGATTATGTAGAAAATTGCAAAAAATATATTCCTACCCCCCAAAAATCTTTGAGTTCAGCAAGATGAAAGCTAGGCATACACATATCAACTGATGATCTGTATGACAGCAGTGAACACTTGGACACCAAAGTTGGAAATGCTGTTGACAGTTGCTCAACTGCATTAGGTCTTCATCTAAAAATCATGTTCAGAATTGTGCATGCTGTACATGACTAAATGCTGATGGACGAAATCAAAGAAAGTGTAAATAAATAAAAGTACATACTCTGCTTATAGACTGGGAGACTCAGAATTGCTGAAGATACCCATGCTCCTGAAATCTACATACAGGTTTAATGCAATTCCCATTAAAGTCTCAGTGAGGTGTTTTGTGAATATAGATAAGTTTATTTGAAACATATATGGAAAGGCAAAGGGAACAATGATGAAAACAATTTTGAATTCGAAGAATAAAAGTAATCAGTCTATTTGATATTACTATTTATAGTAATAAAGACTTGGTGGTATTGATGAAGGGATAGTCTCACAGATCTATGGGATAGAATGTAGAACCCAGAAATAGACCCATAAATGTACCCAGCTGGTTTTTGACAAAGACAAGAAAGCAGCTCATGAGAGGGAAAACAGCCTTCTCAATATGTGTGCTGAAGCAAGTGACAGCCAGAGACATGTAACTTAGCTTCAACCTAAACCTCAGCCGTTACACAAAAAAACTAACTCAAGCCATGGACTCAAGATGACACATAAAGCAAGAAAACATTTAGGAATTAAAAAAAATCTTTGAAATCTAAGGCTAGTCCAAGAGTTCTTAGATGCCATCAAAAGTATGATATGATACTAAAAAAGGAAAATTGATCAATTTGACCTCATTAAAATGAAATGGTTTGACTTACAAAAGACCCTACTAGGATGGCAATGCAAACCACAGATTGAGAGAAAAAATTTGCAGACCTCTATCTAAAAAAAGACTAGTTATCTATAATATATGAAGAATTCTCATAACTCAAGTATGAAAAACAAACCATTCAGCTAGAACATGAACTAAAGACACACACAAATATGTCACTAAAGAGAATATATATAAGTGGTACATGAAAAAAACAACCATTCAGTAACATTAGCCATAAGGAAATGAATGTCAAAACCACAGTGAGATATCACTACATACCTATTAGGATGGCTGAAATAAAAAATAGTGACAACAGAAAATGATGGCAAAGATGCAGAGAAGATGGATCATTCATGCCTTGCGGTGGGAATGTAAAATTGTATGATATTCCAGAATATACTTCCTAAAAAACCGAGCATGCAATTACCATGTGATCCAGCAGTTGCACACACAGTCATTTATCCCAGAGCAGTAAACAATGTTCACACAAGAGCCTATGCATAAATGTTTATCTTAAATTTATTCTGAACAGCAAAAATCTGGAACTGTCTTTGCGTGGCTCAGTTGGTACATCCAGTGCCATGGAATACCATACTACTTAGCCAGTGAACGAGTTAGTCACCAGTATCTGCAACAATCTGGAGAGTTATGCTGAATGACAACACCAGTCCAAAAACACTAATCCTGTGATTCCATTTATATAACATCGTTGAAGTAACAAAATTATAGAAGTAGAGAGCAGATTAGTGGCTGCGGGATTAAGAAGAGGTTTGGAAGGAAGGGTTGAAAGGGAGCCAGGTGTATGATTATGGGGGATCCTGACGATGATAGAAATGTCTTGTATCTTGACTGAGTGGATATCAGTGTTCTAGTTGTCACAGTGTACAGTTTTACAAGGTGTCACCACTGATGGATTTAGGTAGAGAACACGTGGGATCTAGCTGTATTATTTCTTCAGGTACTTTAAAGTAAAGAAGTTGTTTTCTTAAATCGTGCGTAATCTTGATTCCCAGCAGTGACCAGGGTCACTAGACCATTGTGTAGAACAGTGCACTCCACGGAGTCTGGTAGAGGACTCCTTGGGTTTGACTCCCAGTTCTGCTGTATATCAGTGCTGTGTCCTTAAGCAGACATCTTCAATTTGCTGTCCCCAGTTTACTCATCTGGAAAATGGAAAGTAATGATTTTAATGCTAATATTACTTCCATTGGATGATTATTCTAGGAATTAAATAAATTATACATGTAAAAGACATAGCTGCTCACAGTTCTAAGTAGTCAAGTAGTAGTGGTGGTGGTTTCTATACTTTAATTCTTTTTTTTTTTTCTTTTAACAGTTGAGATGGTGTGTATACATTTGCATATTTTGTTTTTTACTTACCATACTTTTTTCTTTAATAATTAGTGAAATAAAAATCTAAAATTCTTTGGTGACACCCTTCCTTTTCATCCATATCAATAGCCTGAACTTCAAAGTTTGGTTAAAAAATTAGGTAAACTTAAAGCATTTGTTTTTTCATTTCTCATTTTAATTTCTCGTTGGTAGCCAGAGCTATTGGACATGGAATTCCCTGCCCACCCACTTAGCTGCACAGTGTAGAGGGGGCTCAAGCAGCCTTGGGGAAGTACAAAGGCTGACTTCTGGCCATGCCTGTGTATTTCCAACATAAATGAAGGACAATATCCTTGGCAGTGTTTCTGTCCACTCTGAGACATCAAAATCCCCATTGTCTGTTAAAACACTTCATCTAGGGTTGGCCTAGGCCTCCACAAAGCTGTTGTATGGCTGCGTAGCTTCTCCAAGCTTCCTCTTGGCCCAGCTTCTCTTTAGGACAGGTAATTTTGAGTTGCCTTCAGTATGTCTAGCATAATTTAGAATGTTGTAATGAATTATGAATATTAGTAGTTTTGAACCACTTGTGTGAATTGAGGTAGTTTCACACTGTCATGACAATGCTTATGTAATATGAGTGAAACAATGGTCTTTGTGAATTTCAGTATCCAAGATTTCAATCATAGACAAATTTAAAATAAACTAAAATTTGCCAATGGGAAGACTAATTACAATAAGTCTAGACGAAAGTAGACAGTACAGGCAAAGCATGTCATTTGTCACTCTTCTTTCAAAACTAAAGCTGGTATTACATTTTAAGCTATCAGTAATTGAATGATTATAACGTAAGTAGGGAAAATGCTTCCCTAAGACTCTCCCCGAGCCATTTTCTCTTCCCAGACCCCAACTCTCTTGTGACTTGGGTTTGCTGTTGGAAAGTATCTTACTTTGATTGAAGAGTAAATATTCAAGTGTGCTTAATTCTCCTCTTTCTTTTTAAACAACTGTCTTCTGTTTGTTTTCGGATTATAGCCATAACACAAAAACAACATCTTGGTTAGACCCTCGGTGCCTGAACAAGCAGCAGAAGCCTCTGGAAGAATGTGAAGATGATGGTAAGGATGAGGAATGTCTCAGGTTCAGTGAGTTGGGGGTTTATTTACATGTGCAAATATTAGCATTATGGTAGCAAGAAAATCTGGTTTGTAACATTGAGTTTTTAAGCGGTAACTCAAGTTCTAGGAAATGCACTGTGGTTTACAAAGGCAGGAGGATATTCAGTAGAATTGTTGTAAGAACAAATCCTTTATGTCACACACTAGTATCTCCAATGGAAATAGAACCTGAGCACGGCAAGAAGCTATTCAAATACAGTTACCTGCTCTGTTTTTAGGAATTTGAAAAAAAAAAAGAAACAACTAGAAGATGTCTAGAAATAAAGAAAACAGTGATTCGGTGGTCACCAGACCTCCTGGACCCCAGCTATATGTTATGAAAATCCTACAGGAAGAAATAGGAGTTTTTCTTGGGCTGTTATTTCCCCAGCTTGGGAGAGAGGGGGTACAGATCTTGACATGTTGGAGATCTGCGTCTATTAGGATATGTCCATAACTTCCAAAAAGTTTATTTTTCTGAGAAAGAGACAAGGTGTTAACTACTGCCTCCCTCTCTCTGTTCATCTTGGAAACAAACTATCTGGTGATAAGAGCTTTTGTTGGAAAAGTTTATTTCAAGGCTTTGGGGTTTCTAATTATTTCTGTACCATGTTAAAAATAAAATAGCAAGTATGTCCCTTTTCAGTAGTACACTGAAATCTATCCCAATCGCTACTAAAATTACTTTTAGGGATGGACTTATTAAAAGGAAAATGGTTTATTTTCTTGTCCATTTTTCATTTCTGGCATTTGAATTAGTAGTATAATTATGGAATACATATTTTCCTATAAGATAACAAGTTTATGAATTCATCCTGTCATGCAGAATTGTGGCATATATAAATGTGAGGCTTGAAAATGCAAGCCAGTATTTTAAAGTATAATTCTGTCAAAACCTTGTACTCCAAGAACCTCCCATTATACATGGTGTGTAGGTTACATGAAATAAGCATACTGTGTTCATATTTATCTGAGTAACTTCAACTGGGAACATATGTCCTTAAGAGACAGGACTGAGGCACTCATTTTATTTTGCTTGCTTGGTTGCATTGCTGAGGAAGGAATGGACCTGATATTATTAACTCTTCTGTATTTTGCATGCTTTCCTGGGACAGCAGAGATTCTGTTTAATGTATAATACATAGGTGATCAGTTCTCAAAGATCAGAACATAAAACACATTTAACCATATAACTTTGTGGAACAAAATGTCATCCTTATTTGATGACTGATAATTTTGAAGGCAGATTAGGTACTCTTACTACTGTAGAGTTTTTCAGTGTCCATTATAAATACATTAGGACATATGAAGTTGCCTGTTAATACTATTTGATAGATAACAGAAAAACATGAGTGCTTTTACTGAGAAAATCCCTTATTGAGGTAAAGGCATAAGAAGCGTTACTGAATGTTTTTGTTACCAAATCTAGTATTCTGTCATTCTTAGAATTCTTGTGATTTATATTGTTACTTCCTTTAGCACAAGTATATGTAATTCATACCAAATGCAGTTAGCTTAGTAATTATCCCTTCAACATCAGAAACCATATCCTATTTCTAAAAGATATTGTATGTATGTCTGTGTGCCTATACACACAAACACCACAAATGTATAATCAGATTATGGGGAACATCAGTTTGCATTTTTGGTTGCCAGTTAATACAAGTCTACCTTGTGTTATTATTTATGTTATTTTCCCAAATCAGGAAAACACTGCTGCTTACAAACATTGTCCCTGAATGTATGTGTGTGTGAGTGATGGGGAGGAGCTGGGGATTGAACCCAGGGCCTTGCAAATGCAAGGTAAGCATGCTACCACTTAGCTACATCCCCAGTCTGTCCCTGTATTTCTTTACATTCGCTGTGGCTCATATGCCACAGAGATGTTACATTGGATCTAACAGTCTGGCATCAAACTTAATTATTGTAAAATGTTGTGTTTTCTTTTTTCTTATCTCAAAAATTGAGTTAATTGCTCTTCTGGTCATTGCTCTGTGTCTAGCTTTATTAGAAGCCTCTGACATTGCCTTTGAGCTCCAGGCCATCGGCTTCATCTGCCTGATTGATACCCCAACTGGGTTTCTCAAGGAGACTTCAACCTCAGTCTGATTAACACCAAGCTAATGATCTTCTCTCCCCCCCCCCCCCCGCCCCAAAGTCCTCCTAGATGTTTTCTATCCCAGTTAAGGGTAAATTCATGCAGACTCAAGAGTCCCCTTCATTATCACCTCTCTTCACACCCGTTTGTAAAACATGAGCATTCTGAATTTACTTGGTCTCCTAAATATCTCTAGAATGCATTCCCTATTTCCTTCCCCACTCTACCTTTCTTAGTCTGGTTCACACTTACTTCCCACCTGGACTCTTGACTGTCTTCTTTTAAAACTGCACCCAGAGGATTTTCCTTTTACTGTAAACGAGCTGATATTATCATTGACCACCCTTCAAGCTCTGTCCAGTGGATCTGTAGTCTGCTTAGTAAATGTGAGTCCTCAGCTTACTTTTCTAAGCCCAAGGGAGTTCAGCTACCCGAACCCCTCCCCTCGCTGTTCTGTCTCCCTTGCTGTCTGCTCTGCATCCCCACTGAATCCCTGCTGCCTGGCAGTCACATATGCAGTTCTCTCACACTTCACAAATTGTTACTGAAAACCTTCTACATGACACATGCTCTGTGCCCTTCAGGTTTATTAGTGACTCCAGCTGTCAGAAAGCCCTGCTCTCACAGAGCTTAAATTCTAGTCATGTCTTACTCAACATCTTCTTCCTGTCAAATTTCCCATATCCTTCCCATTCCAGTTCAGAGACTTCTTCCATGACCAGATAAGATCAGGTCACTTTTCCTATAGATCTTACTCTAGAGAACTTTTCAATTGTAACTTTAGTTTTGTTTCTGTTAGTGTTGAACTTGTGTCCTCTTCCCAAAGGGTAGAACTGTGTCTGCGTTCTTTTGATATCTGTCACCTAGCACAGTGACTGTCATATCATAGGTTTCTGTAAATAATTACTGAAAAAAAATGAATGAACACTCCCAAAGGCACTATTCAATAACATGAAAATAGGCGTTTTTAGCAATTATTTTGTGTAAACTGGATAGCCTTCTTTAAGAAACTATACCTCTTGAAACTCATTCTTGGAATTTTAAGTCAAAACTCTTCAGGGTATATACGGTCATGTTGATTACTTAAGTCAGTAATAGATACACTCATTCATTTGAGAACTATTTAGTACCTAACATGTTCCATAAACTACCCTGGACACCAAGGATTCTGCGGTGGTAAAAACAGGTTTAACCCGTTTTCCCTGTATTTGTGGAACTTCCTCTGGAGACCAGAGCTACCTGCCGTGTACTGGGGAGATGCTCTGTATGAAATAATCTTTGGGTGTTGTGCTGTGTTTTCTACCCAGTAATGATCAAATGTTTTGCTGGCAACCAGAGAAGCCAAGAGTGGAAAGGATCTTCACTTATTTTGCTCACTAAAATCTTGAAAACATGTTCATTCTATTACTGCAGAACATTTTGACTTAGAAAGCTTATATACAAGCAACTATCAAAATCACTGAACTCTGCCTCCCAGACCTCCTTCAGGGTAGCCTTCAAGCCTGACTTCCGTATACATCAACATGACAGTCCATCTAGAAAGTTCCTTTGGAAAAATGTTGAACTCATTTATACAATCTGCTTTTTCGATTTGACCTCACCTTCCCTTTTTCAAGTAGCAGTATTACCTGTGTATTAAATGCTTTAATTGTCAGTGTAATGGCCTCTCTGATGAGAGGATTATTGAAGGATTAAAAGGACTAATATTGAAAGGTCTAATAGCTTTGTTTGCTGCAAATAAGGTCTGCAATAAGTGACTTCCCACTTAAGGACATTGAGACCACAAAGGTGTTTGTCATCTTTTATAACCAATCAAATCCTATTTTGACATGCAAGGAAATGAGGCATATAATCATTTTGCCAATATCAGCTTTTACTGTTTTGTGATTTACACTGAGGTCATGGGTTTACTAGCTAACCAATGTAATAACCCACAATGCAGGTAAGGACAAATATGTGATGTGTTTGTGGCTGTTTCTCTGACGGGAGTTTCTTTCTTGGTGCTGGTGTCTGAATTTTTCTTTCTCTCTCATTCCTGCTCTTCCTTTGGAGAAGAAGGGGTACACACCGAGGAGCTGGACAGTGAACTAGGTAAACGCTCTGCCTGCTATTGCTGCATGACTGCCCTGCATGGTGGATTGCTTAATCTCTCTGGGTCTTTCTCTCCAGTTTTTTGTTTTCTTCCCCCACCTCCCCAGAGGTATGGGGATTGAACTCAGGGCCTTGTGCTTGGTAGGCGAATACTCTACCACTTGAGTCACAAACACCCTAGTCCTTTTTGCTTCTTTTTTAGTTTGTTTTTCAGATAGGGTCCTATACTTTTGCCTGGTGACCTCAGACTTCAATCCTTTTACCTACACCTCCTGAGGAGCTGGGATTACAGGCATGTACCACCATGCCCAGCTAATCCCTCTGTTTCTAGAGTTTACACTTCTCCAATTATGATCTTCACTCTAGCTTATCCATGAGTTTGTCAGTAGGCATCATATACAGTTGAAATACATTGTGTCTGAATAGGAAAAAGTATGAGTGAATTGAAACTAGAATGAGAATTAGCAAATTGCTGATGGGAAATTCTGTAAATTGAAGATTGAGAAAGAACTGAAGTGATGCCTGCTGTGACCTTTGAATTTGTCTCGGCCTCATTGCTTCATTTGTTTAGTGTGAATGGTTTATCTACATGGGAGGTAGAAAAAAAAACAGAGCTAAATAAACAAAAAAGATGAATTTAATGGCTGCAGGGGTAGTTGCAATAAGATAATTTCAGTGATTAATTGGATAGTTAGTGAGTCTTTTGGTGGTGGTGTTATTAAATCATGGACCACATTGCAGACCTTGCCTTGCCACTATACAGAATGTCTTTGGAACCAGAAGTAGTGCTAATTGTGCCATTTTTCTTAGTGAGTATTTATCAATGTAAGTCAAGTCTTGACTACACTAGCTAGTATGGTTTAAAGTAATTTATTTGTGCAGGTGATGCCAGGCTCTGTATATTGAATTGTATTCCCTCTTAAGTGCTCTGTGTTCACATTTGAACAATATTAAAATTAGCTTGCATTCCATCTGAGGCATCCACTGAGCAGTAAGTGAAAAGGCAAAAGTTTCAGTTAAATTACAGAAGAAAGCCTTAGCTGATACAAATTGACCAAAATTCAAAGTTATTTGACATCAAAATCAATGGAACTGTCCATAAGATTATTGAAACTATCTGGCATTTTTGAAATTATCTTAAGTTCTACAAATCGTACAAAAATAGGTAATCGTTTTAATTCTGTTTTGGTTTTGTTACATAGATAAGGGTAATTGTGATTGAGTAAGTTGCGGTATAGATTCAGCTCTGTTTTTCTTGATGATTAGAAAATGTCCTGTTATAGTTGAGGGATAGTCCGAAAATTACCAATCACTCAGTAACTATTAGGGAATGTGTTTCAGGTACTGGGGATTAAACCCAGAGCTTTGCGCACGCCGGGCAAACACTTATGCCCTCAATCCTTTTGGTTTTGTTTTTGAGACAAGGTCTTGTGCAACTTTACCCAGACTCTCTTTGAACTCACCTCCTTCCTTTGCCTCCCATGTAGCTGAGGGATACATTTTAAAGATGTTTAGCTGGGTGTGGTGGTTCAGGTCTGTAATCCTAGTTACTTGGGAGGTTGAGATTGGGAGTATCATGGTTCGAGGCCAGACCAAGCAAGTAGTTCCTGAGGCCCCATCTCCAAAATACTCCAAAGCAAAATGGACTGGAGGTGTGGCTCAAGCAGTAAAGGGCTTGCTTTGCAAATGTGAAGCCCTGAGTTTAAACCCCAGTCCCACCAAAAAAAAAAAAAAAAAAGCTGCAGAGATCAGAAGGATCAAGGTTAGAGGCCAGTCCAGGCAAGAAATTAGCAAGACCCCTTCTCTATCAATAAGCCAGACATGGTGGCGCACATGTGTGTATCCCAGGAATGAAGAAGGCTGTGGGTAAGAGGATCATGGTCTGAAGCTTGCTAGGGCAAGAAGGTGAGACCCTACCTAAAAAATAAGAAAGCATAAAAGGATTGGGGGTGAGGCTCAAGTGGTAGCAAACCTGCCTAGCAAGCTTGAGGCACTAAGTGCAAACCCCAGTATCAGGATAAAATAAAAAAAGTTGTTTAATAAGTTGTCCTGTGGTCATTGCTGTCTCAGTGTCTTGAGGTTCACCTTATATAATAGAACAATTTGAAACTAACTTTATTTAAAAAAAAAAAGAATTTACCAATTTAGTGATAGTAGATAGAATAACTGAAAAGAGACAGAACTAGGTTTTCCATATACAAAGTGACTATCTTAATTACCTGTTCAAGCAATTTCAACCACGCTTGCTACCTGAGTAATCTATGTGGGTGGGCGTTCTGCAAAGCCAGGTGGCCAACGAGAAGACAAAACTGTGCCCAGAGGCACAACCTTAATTGCTTCTGTGAAAGTTTGAATGTTGACGTTCAAAAAAGAAGTTTCTGTATTTTTCTTTCCCCATGTGACTGCGACATTGTGGGAACTTTCCAGTGGTGTTAAGGATGATAAAAAATGAATTCTAATGGAGCATATGTCCCTTCTCATAGTCATAGCTATAGGTGGGAGGTGATAGTGGAGCTGTCTCTAGGGTCAGATCAGACTGCCTGGAGGCTCTCCAGTTACTGACTCCTGCACTTAGGGACTCCCTACTTCCTGGCTTCCTACTTGGCTCTATGACCTTGGCAAAGTTGTTTGCCTTCTTTTTGCCACCTTTAAAAAAGAAATACATAAATTGGGACTGAACTGGGAGCTCCCTTGATGCTTATGAGGCATTTGACTGCTCAGTATTTGCTTCTGTGGCTGAAATTGGTTGTGCGTGATATTTTTGAGGCCACATAATAAGAATATATGCCAGTATTCACCTCTGTGATCGGCACCTGTTGATTGTATTACCAGTTTTATTATCTCTTACTTCTCTCTCGTTGGACTGACAGTGCTTCTTTACAGTACTTTATCCCTTTAACACGGGACAAGCGAGGAGCCTGAATGCAACCTTGTAGGGAGAGTAGACAGAACCCTTGATTTTTGCCCACGCCAGTCCACTGTAGAAAGAGTAGTATGTGTACATGCACACACCCATGTGTGCTGTTTTTTGTTGTGTTCATTGAAGATTCTGTTGACAGAATTTTCTTAATAAAAGGGGTCTAATTTTCAAACAAAAGCAAAACTGTCCGGTTTTCAGTGAACAGTGATTCCAAATGTGACAAGGAACTTCTCCCTAAGCCACCTTGGGAGGCATGAACAGTTGGTGTAGGTGTTGGCCACAGATCATCTGATTATGGAGTTGTCATTTCTGACCTCTGTCATTTTGGGTGGGTCAGTAGCTCCATTATGCACTTTGGGTTTGCAGATTCTATTGAGTCTTCTGCAGAACGTCCCTTGAATCCAAAGACACCAGAAGAACCTTGCTTTTGAAACTACTGGGTGTTGATGTGGCAAAATCAATAAGAGAGGCAGAGACAAGAAAATGAATTCCCCTTACCAACCAAAATTATGCCATAATTTTGAAATTTATCCTTGAGTTTGAACATGATTTTTGATCTGTTCACTGACAGCTCTCTTTATAAGGGTTTAGGATAGTTGACTGCTCAATATTTGCTTCTGTGGCAGGAAATTGGTACCACATTATATTTTCAGAGGCAAGGAGAGCAAGCACATAGGCCATGGAAGCTTTCCTGGTAGAGCTGTCACTGGTCGAACACTTGTTGTGTGCCGTGCTGTGTTTTGCAAGTGTTCTCCTTGTAAATGGCATTTACCTTTGAGCTGATTCAGGAGAAAGATATGGTTCAGAGATGTCGAATAACCACCTAAGGCCACAGAGTGATAGAGTTTAGCAGTAATAAGGTCCAGTCCAGATGTGAGCGGTTCTAGAAGGGTCTCAGCCTCCTCCAGTCTCAGTAGGTCTTACAGTCTTATCTGCTGCCTGACCATCATTAGACATAGCAGGTGGTTTTTGTTTAAGAAAAAAAAACAAACTATAATATAATCACTTTCCAGGCTTAAATATTTTCTGCATTTTCAGATTTTTAGAACCAAATGACAAATTCTAGGACAAACATCTTCCTTTTTTTAAATTGATGACCCATTTCTATTTTAAGCATCAGGAGACTAATTCCTGTTATTAAGTTAATCACCATATTGGAAACAAGAAATCTATCTTTTTGATTCAAAATGAGTTTTAACTTGGAAAAACTGGAAAAATTCTGGAGTTTGCTCATCTGTTCCAGAAGTACTTAAATTGACAAATGTTCAGAAACACCAGTTGACTGACCCCATTTCTGAACTCCAGGACATTAAGTTGTTGATGAAGCAACAGGTCAAAAGTCAGGGGTGGCTTCTTGAACCCTGCATCAAAGCACAGGCCGTGAGACTGAATTTTCTGCTTTTCTAGTACACTTGTGTTTCTCCTTGTGTCCTTGATGTCTGACACATTATCAGGCCAGCAATAAATGCTTGGCAAATGAGCCAATTAAATGTGGAATATTTCCCCATTGTAACTAAAGATAATCAGGTCAAATATTTCAGGTTGCACATTTTGGGAAAGGTCTGGTTTGATTAATTATAGTATGGTCCCTCACCTCACCCATTCTTCTCACCCTTGTGACTCTGCTCCGATTTGCAATTGTTAATTCTTCAATTTCCCCACTCTGGAAATATTTTCCTCGTTCTTTTTCATTTAAATGGTAATATCCAGCTTTATTGTAAGGAGAAACCATTTCCCAAGCATTTAATTTACATGGCTCGCAAGACTCCGTGTATCAAAATGCCAAGTTGTATCTACATCAGCAAATGGGACCTGTCTTGCATGTTAGTAGCTTATATCTCCTGAATTCAAAGACAGCTATAGAACCTGTTATGTGTTAAAAAAAATAATAATAATAATAGAAAAGAAAGGAGGGGAAAACCCATCTCTTTGTTTGCAAACAAGTAACATGTGGAGTAAAAACCATGAAATTAATATTTCTTGATGTTCAGCCAAATCTGAGCAAAACACAAACTTTGAGTAATTAGTCTGTGTGTGTTTGTGTACACACGATGTCTCCAACTCTGTCTGGGACTATTAGTGACATGTGTGAGACCTCTACCCATGAAATGGTCAGTGTTTGAAAATAGTGATTACATGATTCCTGGAATTAAAAAATCAACAAGACTCCTTCAAAGTAAATGACATTTCAAGTCTTGGTAGTATTCCATTCAAGTTGCTCTTAATAGTTAACTGCTAGGAATAATGATTACCTTTGGAGCATAGTATTCTACCAGCTGTGTTAACTATGCAGATCACGGTGGCTTTCAAATCAAGTTGAGTAATTGCTGCTGTGTCTGGAAGGATTATCAATCACTCACTCACACTCCAACCTAGGTGCTCCTTCACCAATAAAATACTGTGGTGCAGTGAGCCTTTCCACAACTGATTCTTGTTGCAACAGAACCCACTGCTGTCTAAAATGAAAGTCCAGTAGAGCATGACTACGTTTTGAAAGGCACATATATCCCCATCTTAACACCACATTTTAAAGAACGGTGTCTTCCCCCAAAGGTAACAGGCAGTCTAGCAGCAAGACCTGTGTTTCTCCTTCTTTCTTTTTTTGTCGTTATGGTAGTAGGGCTTGAACTCAGGACCTTGCATTGAGCTACGTCCTCAGCCATTTTTGCTTTAGTTATTTTTCAGGTAGGAGCTCACACATTTTGCCTTGGCTGCCCTCAAACCATGATCCTCCTACTTCTGACTCCCATGTAGTTGGGATTTCAGTTATGTGCTACCATGCCCTGTTTGTTTGTGAGATGAAACCTTGCTAAATTTTTGCATAAGATGGCCTCAAACTGCAATTCTCCTGGTCTCTGTGTCCTAAATTGCTGGGATTACAGGCGTGCACCACTTCACATGCAACCTGTATTTCTCTTTTATAGGTAAAATTCTGGGGAAGATGGACTGGCCCAATATGGCAACAGTGACAGATACATGCATTTCAGAAACCCATCACCATGTGGGCATTTTTATTTACCAACAAGCATTTTAATTAGGAACAAGGAGAAAATTAAATGCAGGTTTAATTTTCTTCAAGGTAAAGCAAAACCAGGACTATTGTATGGAAAATGAAACAGAAACATTAATTTTTATTCATTGTTGCTTATGGAGGTAAGGTAGCTGGAAAGAAAATGAGAAAATCTGTAACTATTTAAGTAGGAGCTAGGCACTCAAGGCAAGTTTTAAGTATTTCCATTAAAATCAAATTTAATAGTTGGTTAAGAATAAAGACAGCTGGGAGTACACTTTAAGTTTATTTTCTTGAGTGAAATGCCAGTAGACCAAAAAACTGTTCTTTGTGTAAGAAAGTACACTGAACACAACAAAAAGAATAGAATCTTCCTTTCAGTTCTGGATATACAGTTTTAATTGGATTTAAGGCATTTTTATGAATCTTTCTTCCTTCACCTAACTCTGTTGTTGACAGTCCCCAGGCTCTTCAAGAATCGGCTCTTCTATCCCTAAATGCTCTTTTATTTTGCAGAACTGCCTGCTGGTTGGGAAAAGATCGAAGACCCTGTCTATGGTGTCTACTATGTAGAGTAAGTGCCTGTTGATAATTCCCACATTAGTTTGTGCGCCTGTGGAGTCATGTACTAACTTTAATACTCATTTATAGTGAAAATGTTTTAATGAATGAGAAAATATCTAGTGGATGTGAAGATAGTAAAATCTGTTAGTAAATTGAGGAAGGCAGGGTTCTTGTCTTGTTTTTTCCCATAGGCAGGCTGTAGCTCACCGGGGCTGAGCCTCGTCTTGGCAAATGGCAGATGTCTAGTAAGTAGAGTTGAAGTGGTGAGTGGGAAAGCCAGGGTGCAGCGGAGCACATGTATAGTGGTTGTGTTCAGGAAGATGTGTTTGGCCTGTTTTTTGTTGTGCCCAGGTCTGAGCTTCTCATTAATTATTCATTCATTCTGACATTCTAAAAGGATTAGACAAATCTTAATAATTTATAAAACATTGCCAAGAGTAAGAAGGAAATGGAGAACAGGCTCAGTCACAGGAACTGTGATCTGTGGGCCTCCTTGCATCTTCCTTCCTTGAGTCCCATGTACATGGCTTCTGTTGTCTATTTCCAAACGTCTCAAACCTTTATCATGACCTCTTCACCATGGACCTTATTCCAGCACTGGGCACACACACTGTCCTTTCATCAGGACCACCGATTGACAGCATGATACTTAAGAAAATAAAAGATCCGAGAGATGGAATACTGAAAAAACAGGCTTTCTGTCTTTTCCACTGTGAAGGATGAGATAATAAAATGATCCTTTGAAAGAAACAAGTGTCATATAAATATTGCGTACCCATTATCCCTCCTGCCACAGTGAAGATAAAAGGCATGTCTTCTCTCCCCAATGATGCTGGCAGTGCAAAGTCATTTGTATAATGCCCTGGTGATGTGAACATATGATGCTAGGCTGTAAAATGCTTAGAATCTTACTGTAAAAAATGACGAGTTGATTATAGAAGTGTCCTTGGCTGACACTAACATTGCCTCCTTTGTACCAAAGAAAGAGCTGGCAATTTGGGGCATCAGAGAGGCAAGTGAGGTCCTTTCTCTGACCTTGTGAAATGAATTTCCTTTGTAAGTTCTGGGGGTCATCTGTTTTTACAGGAGTATAGTGAGATTTCTGCTGACTCAAGACTCCTTTTACATTTTCCCCCAACCAACTTGTGCATTTAGTAAGAAGATGGGCTCTTCTTGGAACTTGGGTTTTGAGGGGCAAGGAATTACCTCACTATTTAGTTCTCCTTCTCCATCTCTTAATGCCCAATCCACAAACGCACTAATGAGAGACAATTTCTTAAAAAGAATATGCCTGTGAGAATTAAGAATTAAAGAAGTAGACCCTTAGTAATAATTAAGGATAATCAATCTATCCAACCCTATTTGATCAAAATCAAAAGTCAAGCCTGGCTTTAAAAAATAGAGTTCTAAAGATTCTTGTTTGTGGATTACAAAGTGTATATAAGTACATATAAATATGTGTATGCTTGTCAATTTGCATAGCACGTGTACCGAAGAAATTTACAACGTGTATATATATGTGTGTGTATATGTATATGTATATATATATATTTACCTATACTTGTACATACATGCACAGTAAATAAGGCCACAACAAAAATATATGTGTATCTACACATGTGTTAGTATATGTATGTGGTTTTTTTGTAACAGCCTTATTACTTACATACCAATGTAAAATATCTGGGTCTTTGTCACTTTGAGCACATCACATCTGCTTAGGTTAGCTATATTTGGAGTCTCTTTGCCTAAGGGGTATACTTTTAATCCTGCTTCCTTGTCAGATGGTCAGAATAGTTGACAGATGTTAGTGGAGTCCTTTTAACTTCATCTTTTAGTATATGATTCTATTTCTGTGGACAGTTACACAGAGTCCTGGCACTGTATGTGTCAGACATTCTACTTCCGTCTTACTTTTCAATAATTCTAAAATCTGTTTCTTGTTGAGTTCAAGCAATTTCCCCATCAGGTGACATGTTAGAAAGCTGGGTAGAGTCAGTGGTTAAAATTTGAAAGCAGACAGAGCTGAGCTTGCATGTGGTATTCCTTACCAAGCTATATTACATTTGGTGAGTTTTTAACTACTCAGAAGATTATTGTGGTTATCCATAAAATATAGTTGTTCTCCACTTATCCATGGTTTTGCTTTCTGTGGTCTCACTTACCTGAGGTCGGCTGTGGTCCAAAAACATGATATGGGAAATCCCAGAAATAAATAATTCAAAAGTTTTAAATTGAGTGCCATTCCAAGTAACGAGATGAAATCTCAAGCCATCGAGTTCCATCAAGCTCAAGATGTGACTCATTCCTTTGACCCAGTGTACCTGTACTCTATACACTGCTAGCCTGTTGACTGCTTTGCCATCTCAGTCATCGGACTGATAACCACAGCTCTAGTGTTCAAGTAACACTTGTTCTACTTATAATGGCCCCAAAGCCCAAGAGTAGTGATGCTGGCTGTGCAGTATGGTAAAGAAAAGGCATAAAGTGCTAACTTTAAATGAAAAGGTGAAAATTCTCAACTTAGTAAGGAGAGAAAAAGAATCATATGCTCAGGTTGTTAAAATCTATGGGAAGTTATTATTGTTAATCTCTTACTATACCTAATTTATAAACTAAACTTTGTCATCCATGGTATGCATGTATGTGGAAAAACCATAGCACATTTCGGATTCACTATTTTCCTTGGTTTCAGGCATACACTGGGATCTGGAAACTTCCCTCGTGAACAGCGGGGTACTACTGTATGAATAATAATGGGACGTGTCTCCTAGCATTTACTGAGAATTTTCAAATAAAATGCACAGACACCTGGTAGCACAGTGCCCAGTGCCTGTAAGCAGTCAGTAATGGAAACTTCGTTTCTATTTCCTCTTCTGAACTTTGCATTTTGACACAAGACTTATACAGTGTATACAAGGGACTTAACATGGTTGGTCTTTTGCTGGTGGGATGAATGTTTCCCAGCTGAAAATCGTTTTCCTTTCTCCCCAGCCACATCAACAGGAAGACACAGTACGAGAACCCAGTTCTAGAAGCCAAAAGGAAGAAGCAGTTAGAACAGCAGCAGCAGCAGCAGCAGCCGCCACCGCCAGAAGGTTGGTCTCTTCCTTGCAGGCTTTTTGCTGAGCTGGGAACATGGGGCAAAGCTTGGGCACTGACACCCCCGTGTGGTCAGAACTGGCCTTAGTTGAGTCATTCTCTTGCCAGGCGAGGAGTGCTGTGCTGGGTGGTGGAACACAGAGATTCTGCTGGCTCTCCACACTTGACACACCCTACTGAATGGCCAAAGGGGGCCCATTTCAAAAGGCACCCAGATCTCCATGCCACCTTAGAAGGAAGCACTGTTCAGATGTTGTGAGAGTGAAGGAACCCCAGCGACATTTGCATCAAAACTGCTATCTAAATCCAAATGCCTTTTAGCATTTTTCCTTTAGACAGAATTAAGTTTTAATTTTAGGAATATTACAGTCAGAAAGAGCTGACCATTTTGGATGCTTCTTAAAAGTTACTAATTACGAATATGAATCATTCGGGAGAGTAGCACTTAAAATTCTCTAATGTGTGTCCCCTTCCCATTCTCAAAGGTAAACTTTGGGTAGCAATTTTCTAGTGATATACAAATTGCATATGTTAACAAACATCACCTAATTTGGTATGAATATATTTTGCACATGTGTGAGTGACCTGTTTTTTCTCACTTTCTATTTCTTGCACCTATTTCAAAATTACAGATTTACCATGCACACACACACACACACTTTTTTTTTTTTTTTTTTTTTGCAGTACTGGAGTTTGAACTCAGGGCTAAACTTACTAGGCAGGTGCTCTACTGCTTGAGTCACTCCACCAGCCCTTCGTTGAGTTAGGTATTTTCAAGATAGGGTCTCACAAAGTATTTGCTTGGGGTTAGCTTTGAAAAGCAATCCTCCTGATCTCTCCCTCCTGAATAACTAGTATTACAGGTGTGAGCCACCAGCACCTGGCTTTCACCTTATAGTTTTTAATGACTTCATAATGTGTCATTTAATGAATGTCTTCACCATTATTTAGCCATCCATTTGTTAATAAATACTTAGGTTTTTCCCAGTTTTTCATTGAGGTCTTTTAAAATCATCTACTCCATTCTCCTCTCAATATAGTCTAGGAATATCAAATATTTGAATTATCAGTTGTAACACTTGTGTTACTACAATATTGAATAGAACTATGTACTTTCTTTGTATATGTGTGTGGTTGATGCTGGATCTAACCCAGGGCCTCCTGCACGCTGAGCACATACCCTATCACTGAGCTACATGTTCAGCCCGTAAATATAATAAATCTAGACTATAGACTATGGGTGATCCAACTGTTTCTGTGTATGACCACACAGTAAATACTTCCAGTTTTGTCTCTGTTACAAGTACTCACTCTGCCACTATGGATGAAAACAGCAATAGACATTATATAACGAATAAGTATAGCTGTGTGTCAATAAAATTTGACTTATGGTCACTGTAATTTGAACCTCGTATGACTTTTATGTGTCACAACATATTCTTCCTTTTCCTTCTCTTTGTGGATTGTTTTTTGGAGCTGAGGTCTCACTATCACTGTCACTAACCTCACACTATCTAGTCAAGCTGACCTCAAACTCATGGTCCTCCTGCCTCAGCCTCCTGAATGCTGAGGTTTACAGACTTGCACCACCACACGGGGGTTAATTTTTTTTTTTTCTTAACTATTTAAAAATCTAAAAGCTACTCTTGACTAGCAGGCTGTATAGAAACAGGCATTGGACCCAGTTTGGTTGGTAAGCCTTGGTTTGCCACCTGCTGCCCTGCACTATATAATTTAGACTGAGAGTGTGTTTGCCAATTGAAAAGTTCTCTACCTTAGTGTCTTAAAAAACATTTTAAAGTGTATTTTTCCTGAGATGTTAAAACTTGGTAGTGTTGGAAAATGCCACTTGAGCAATGGGAGTGTTCCACTGAATATGTTAGTTAAGCTGGAAAGTGACTCTAGTGCTTCTCAAGGTCACTCCTATGAGGCCTCTGAGGTACATAAGACCAGAATTGGGACCCAGGAGTCCTGCCAGTGTCTCCATTTCAGAGACAGCAGGAGTTAGCATCTTAGCAAACTACTGTAATCTATCTCCATGTGGTTCATTGCCTAATACTGGCAGGTTCAGTGGGCTAGCCCAGGCCTCGGTTCTCTTTAGAGAACCTCACATGCCTCAGAAAAGGTTCTGTCTGAGAATGCTGCCTTTGGGTGACCTACACCTTTGCTGATATTTTTCCTTGCTCTCACTTTGAACCCTCCAACCAGAGAGAACTGCAGTTTTTATTGGCTAAATCAGTATTTCTAACCCCCAAATGTCTCAGGTGAGAGAAAAAGATTTTTTATGTCCCTTAACATGAAGTGAGTTCAGGCACCAGCTTCTTTTTGGTGTAAGCTGTCTTCCCTTGGTTTATGGGTTTGGGTATTACTGAGAAGAAAGGAAGTGGACCAGCTGTTTGAAGGAAAATCAAGAACCGGTTTCTTTTCTTTCTTGTAGAATGGACAGACGATCCCTCATCCCTTGTGCCTCCAGCTGTTCCTTCCCATCCCCCAAGCAATCCAGAGCCAGCCAGGGAAGCTCCACTTCAGGGTAATGTGTTTTTATAATTACGTCATGGTGTTAGCCCAAAAGTCTCATTCTTACTAAGGCAGTTTAAAATGTGGAGTCTTGTAACTCACAAGTTTTGCTTCCATACTAAAAAACCATAAATAATGAAAGAATTCTACATGTATTGTTAATTAGATATGTCAGAAAATTAGTAACCTTTCTGAATAAAATTCAGCTATTTGTACTATTCTAAAAATGATAATGCCTGCTAAATGATACTGAAACCAGTTGTCCTCAATCTGAGCACTATTGACATTTTTAGCCGGATAATTCATGTATGGAACTTTCCTGTGCATTATGGGATGCTTTGAACTATCCCTTAGATATGAGGAACACATCTCCACCTCCCACCTTAGGACAACCAAAAATGTCCCCAGACTTTGCTAAATGCCCTTCTCAGGGTTGGGAGTGACTGACTTAGAAACCACAGACACTTAATACCATTGGTTTTTTTTTTGTTTTCTTTGTTTGTTTATTTGGTGAAACTGGGGTTTAAACTCAGGACTTCATACTTGCAAATCAGGCGCTCTACTGCTTAGCCACACCTTCAGTCCTTAACACAATGTTAAATGAGAGTAATTCAAACCTCAGCACTAGGTATTTCAAGACTCCAGTCAACACATTTGCTTTTGAATAGGATTTTCTTGTAACTGTTAATGACTTTGTGTCTCCTCTTCCTGCCACTATTTTGACATTTAAAAGTTTCACAGCATTTCTGTGGGTCTCACTTACATTCACAAATAGTATGCACCCACTAGAGAGAATCATTCTTAAAAATTGGGAGCTCTCAAACCTGGCTCTTTTCAGACCTCTTTATCCTCAGTGATGGGAAAGGCTTCTGGGAGATTTTTGATTATATTTTTTCTCTTAAATGAGGAAAATTGAACAAGCATCTTGTTTGATAGCATTAGGGAGTGTTTATGGTACAGAACCATAAAAAATAGTATGAAATTTATCTTCCTGTCTACATTTTTAGCAAGCTATCTGTTAGATATAAGAAGGAAAGTAAAATAACTTTTCTCCCATTACAACTCCTCCCTTATAATTTTCACAATAAATTGTTTTTCTGCTAGCTTGACATTGTCATGAGGTTAATATCATTTTATGTAAAATGCTTTTTTCTGGTGTAAGTATACTTTTAATGGCAATGCTGCCTTTAAAAAAGGTGTAGATATATATACAATCACTATATAGTGATTGTAGCCTCCTCAGTACTTTTTAAATATACAATTCTTTGCTTGGCTCATGTCGTCTTAGTAGTAAGTGAGTTTCTATCTCATAGTAAGTGAGTGAGCTACACCAGCCTCTTTAAATTCTTTGAACCAGTCAAACTGTGGACCATTTCTGAGCTTTTGCATGGACTCCTCCCTGTACCCAGTTCTTTTTCCTCCAACTCTATGAACGCCTGTTCATGTCAGTCTTGAATAGAATCCCCTATCATAGTCATTCTTCACCATCTTACACTTCTCATTTGTAGAATTTTATAGTTAGTGTGATTGGTGTTCTGTTAATTAACAGACATTTTCTTATTAGACTTGATATTCCATGGAGGCATGAAACTATGGGGGCTTTTGTTTGTTTTTTTTTTTCAAACAAACAGAGCTACTTGAAAGGCTTAGATCAGGAGGATTATGGTTCAAAGCCAAGCAGGGCAAAAAAAAAAAAAAAAAGTTAGTGAGACCCCCATCTCAACCAATACTGGGTGCAGTGCCCCATATGTGCTATCCCAATCTACATGGGAGGCTGAGAACAGAAGGATCATGATTCCAGGCCAGCCCATCTCATTGGAAAAAGCTGGGCATGGTGGTTCCAGCCTGTCATCCCAGCTATGACAAGAAGCATAAAATAGGAAGACTGCCATCCAGGCTGGCCTGAGCAAAATAACCAGAGTCAAAACATCTGGAGGCTTTGCTCAAGTGGTAGCGCATCTACCTAGAAAGTACAAAGCTCTGAGTTCAAACCCCAGTACCACCAACCAACCAATAAACAAAAACCTTCCAAACCAGGTATCATCCTGTGATATTTTCTGCTAAAACTATTGTTGAGTGAAAGAGTGAACATATATACACATCTATCCATGCAGTCACACATACCTGTGATAGCCAGCCAGGCTATTTTAAAGAATTACCTTAGAGATTAAATATGTCAAAACCCTAAAGATTCGGGTTCTGGGTGTACCAGGTACTTAGGTCACCAACTAAGGATCCAAATGGTATTTATCTGTAAACTTCATCTCAAATAGTTTTCTTTCTTGAAGCCACTCCCCTTCTTTTTTTTTTTTGGGGGGGGGTGGTGGTGGGGGAGGAGCCATGCTAGGGATAGAATTCAGGACCTCACAAGTACCAGCCCAGCACTCTACGCCTGAGCCACTCTCCCAGCACTTGCCCCCTTTTTTTCTTTTTACTTTTTCTTCCTTCGCTCTGTTAGGCATGGCAGTAACCTGTAAACATCCACATGCACTGGACTCTCCCTGGGATCAGCTCACACATTTTACAACCCTTCTGTGTTGCCTCGATACTGGCCTTCATTCGTCATACAGTATTATAATCCTTGGAATATAATGTATGCCAAAGAGCACAGTTAAAATCCCCACCACCACCCCTGCTTTGACTTCAGTGTTAGGCTCACTGCTTGTGACTCTGCATTACCTGCCTTCTGAGCATGCATCTGGATCTGCTAGCTAGTATTGATCATGTGAGCAGGAAGAAGCCATTTTGCTAGCTTGGTTAGATGGCTTGGATTAATTTTGCTAAATTTATTGCTCAACCAAATTGTCCTCTGATTGAGAGCATACTTTTAACAGTTATTTTTGGAGATGTGCTCTTATGCAGACTCCTCCAGTTCAAGCTTATTCTTGGGGCAAGATCTTTGAAGCCTCCCCTGCAGCATACGCACTCCACTCTTCCCCTGTCAGCATAACTCATTTGTTGAGCCCTTATTCTGTGCCCCACACCTACCTAAGCTTTTACATCGTCCATCATGGCTCTTCGCAACCATTGTTACCTCCATTTACATGTGCAACACTCAGGCACAGAGACTTGGTCACTTGCCACTAAGTAGGGAGCAAAGACAAACACCAGTTGTCATTAAGAATAGTTTAGCTCTGGCTAAAATCTGTTTGTTGGTTTTTGTGGGATACCTCATTGCATGGTCTTAAGTCTCTGCTAGCCAATACATTGGTTACATGTTTGCATTTGAATTTAAATTTATATGAATTGCAATTAAAAAATTAAAAGGTTGAGTTCTTCAGTTCCACTAGCCACATTCAAGGACATGACAGTTATGTGACTCCCATATTGGCAGGTACAGAAATGGAGTTTTCCTATCATTACAGAAAGCGCTGTTGGACAGCACTGGGCTGGTGAATTCAAATGGAAGAGCCAATATTAGTCCGGAAGAGGAACTATCCCAAAGAGTGGTTCGAGGGTAGAATTTTGGGTCAAAATCTAGAAGATTCTGACTCAGTAAGCCTAGAGTAGGAACCAAAGAAAGTACTTTATCAAATGCCACTGAGATGAGTTTCATACACAGCCAGGTCTTCAAATTGCTTTCTGGCCAACAGGGTAAGAGTCTGAAAATTACACAGACCACAGAGCTGCAGCCAAAGCTTCAAATCCTACTTGTGGGGAGAAACTAATTTCTTTCCAAAAGCTGCATTAACTAATGGTCCTGCCATACATAAAGTGTAATAAAATGTGCATAAATGTGAAACCTTCTGATCTTCCCTCTCTAGTTGAGCATGGCAAATGGAAGTCAGTGGTGTAGTTTCAAAGCCCCGCTCATGTCTCGATATTAAGTTGAAAACATTCTAAGCACAAAATATGCTAATGGCTTTTTAAAACATTCAGAGAAACTGCCTGGTGTATTTTTACGCCTTTTAACTTTGCCTATAATATGAGTGAAAAGTTCCAACACCCAAATGTTTCTTTTCAACTTTCCTCTCAGAGACCTATTGAATCTCACTTTGTTTTGCTTTTGTTCATTCATTCATTCATTCATTCACTCAATGGAAATTTTTAGAGCACATAAAATGTGCCAGACTGTGTTCTAACCACTGGATATAAAATAAAAATTCTCATGCAGATTACATTCTATATACATTCCTGAGCCTGGGGAATAGTATGACCAAATCAGCAAGCAGATGCATCCCATGTTGAAAAGTAGGAAATGCTAAGGACAAAAGTATGACAGGAGAGGGAATGGGAAATGGAGGAGGCATTGTGTATTTAATACTACAGTCAGGGAAAGTTCACTGAGAAGATGGTAACTCTGGCTATCTTTGCATAACTGAAATGTGCTTCACTGCAAGCTCTCTGAATTCCTGGCAGCCTTTGCTGCAAGAGTCTTAGCCATTTACCTTCTTCCCCCAAAGTAAATTTAGGGTCATCTCACCTGTCCTCAGTTTTCCATCTTAGCAGTTATCTCCCTACAGCCTTGCAGCAGGTGACTTTCCCCTCCTTGTACATAGACAGGTGACTCTGCATGACAGGTCCTATTGAGTCTTGTCTTTCTTGAGCTCCAGTGACAGTGCTGCAGCTTGTCAAACATCCAGTAGTCCTGGAGATCGCACTAAAGAGGAAGTTAGTGAGCAGACTTCTGACTACAAGCAATTTAAAAGAGCCTTCTTTTTAATAGCCAGGGACTTTTAAAATATGCAATTAAAAATTGTATGCATGCCCAGAGACCTTTCAGGCCTTTTAGTTACAGCTAACTAAAAATAACTCTCCTTCCCATGTGTAGGGGGACTTCTTTTTCTCCCATTTTTTTTGGACAACATTTTTTGATAGAAAAGAAATAAGGCAGATGAGGACCCTTATAAAGGCAGGACATAGGAAATGAAATTAGGAGTAGTGAAATTACATGTCCCCTATTTGAAGTAACCATAGAAATTCCAGTAAGTTTCTTAATTATAGAGAAACAGTTAATAAAGCCCAAAAATAAAGCTTTCTGATTTATATCTAAAATGTTACTTATGAATATGTCAAAAACAAAAAAGCCCAGTAAACACTTAGGTCAGACGTTTGGGAGTTATTTAGTTCTCTATTAATTTGTTTTAAATAGTCAGCTGAATTTGAAGCTACATGGCTCTTGTTAGTAAGTACTTTGGTTAATAGGTTTTATTTTGACTTGCTTTTTAAATTATTATTATTGTCATTGTTACTATTTTTTAAATACCCAAAGTCAAGTGTCCTAAGCATTTTTTAAAAATCATAGATCTTACCAATAGACTTGGATTTGCCATTTCACAAATTGTTAAAAAATGCAAATAAATAAGAAAAGTCAATAGACTTTACAATTCCTTTGAAAGTAATAACCTTTAATTTTGAAAATAGTGATTCTTCATTTTTGTCAGATTCTTCTTTGTGACCATGATATGTCTCTTGGTATTAGCTGTGCATTTTCAGCTTGAGCCTTTGGTTTGGTTTCAAACTAAAAGTTTCAGTCAGTTGGTTTTACATGGAGAAGCCAAGCCCAAAGCAGCAAATATAAAATAGTGACCCAAAACAAGGACTGACTCTGTTTTCGGTAAAGGAGCTTAATTGCTGTCAGGCTACATGAACTGAATCCAAGGAAGTGTGTCACCCAGTTGGGACCAGTTTTGCTCTTTCTTGTGTATTCTTTTGGACCTTAAAGGTGACATACAATATCAGCCTCTTAAACAAACAGGACTGGGGGCACCCCATTCCTGAAATCAAGAGAGGACATACCTAAGACATATCTGTACCCAAAGGCCCCAGCCACAAGCTTGCAGAGTTATCTCTGTGTTGTCTCATTGTTTGTTTACTTCTCCTTCTCACTCATAGACATAAACAATCCTTATACTTTTCTTATTTTAATCCAGGCAAACCCTTTTTTACACGAAACCCTTCTGAGTTGAAAGGCAAGTTCATCCACACAAAGCTGCGGAAAAGCAGTCGTGGCTTTGGCTTCACGGTTGTTGGAGGAGATGAACCTGATGAGTTCCTCCAGATCAAGAGCCTGGTCCTAGATGGTCCTGCCGCACTAGACGGCAAGATGGAGACAGGTGAGTCTGTAGGGCCATAGCATGTTCTGTGTGCTGGGATTTCCACCCATGCTGGAACAAGACCAAACAGCATCGTGATTTCAGATGGTCATAAAGATCCCTCATCACCAGATCCCTCAGCACAAAAACCCATCCCTTGATCTGGAAGCCAGAGCCTTTGAAGCTATTTTAACTTTTAGGAAATTGTTAGGGTGCTATTGCAGTAAATTAGTAATGTACTGAAAACGTAGATCCATTTGAATAAATGAATTCTAAACTGGGATCTGCAGTGAGAATTTCTTTTCAGAAGAAAACTCCAGTGTCCTCTCAATGATTATTGTATTCTCAATAGCAGGGAAGACTCTAGCAGCTAAAGGAATGCTTTATTGGCAGTTAAGATGAGCAATAGAAACGGTCTCTTTATATATGACGGTACTACCCCTGCTTCCTACTTTTGCTTCAATTTCATATTGGTGATAGGGAAGAAGCAGAACTTGACCTCCACCCTCTTAAAATTTTGGCCCTGAAAATTACAAAAGATAGGTTAATAGGAGAAAAGCACATAGATGTATTTACTATTTGTTTTATATGGCATTGGACACTCAGAAGGAAGTACAAACCCAAGACTGTAAATATGCAGTTAGAGTTGGACATTACTGTGTGGAACACAGAACAGTAGATTATAAAAATATGGCAAGCCAAAGGGGCCTTGGGCTTAATGGCATAGAGAAATGAGTTGGGAGTGAAGGGTGAGTTTAACAAGGTGGGTGTGTAGACATTTCTCTTGCCTTTGACGTCAGGTCTGTGATGATAAGAATGTTCCTGAAGTAATAAGACGGTTACTTCTTGATATAGGAACGTCATCTTCCACATGAAGTGCTCCTTCTTGCTTTCAGGAAGAAAGTGGGCAGGATGGGAGTGCCTTTCCTATACCTGATGGTTTTTTTAAGTGTCTTTAGCTTAAAGTCATGTTTACGCCATAGTGGCATATTTGGGGTGGTGTATTCTGATCATGAGAACATTATAATATTAACACTGCGTTTCTTGGTGCTGTATTTTGATGGCCAAACTCTTCCCTTCTACAGGGGATGTAATTGTCAGCGTGAACGACACCTGCGTTTTGGGACACACACATGCACAAGTTGTGAAAATCTTCCAGTCCATTCCCATTGGTGCCAGCGTGGACCTTGAACTCTGTCGAGGTTATCCATTGCCTTTTGACCCTGATGACCCCAATACAAGTTTAGTGACCTCAGTGGCCATTTTGGACAAAGAACCAATTATTGTGAATGGACAAGAGACCTATGATTCTCCAGCAAGCCACAGTAGTAAAACAGGCAAAGTCAACAGCGTGAAGGATGCCAGGCCGAGCAGCCCTGCTGACGTGGCTTCTAACAGTTCCCATGGTTACCCCAATGACACCGTGTCTTTAGCTTCTTCCATAGCCACTCAGCCAGAACTCATCACTGTCCACATAGTCAAAGGGCCAATGGGCTTTGGTTTTACTATAGCGGACAGTCCTGGTGGAGGTGGCCAGAGAGTGAAGCAGATCGTTGACAGTCCAAGGTGCCGCGGGCTAAAAGAAGGGGATCTTATAGTGGAAGTGAATAAAAAGAACGTGCAGGCGCTCACACACAACCAAGTCGTGGATATGCTGATTGAATGCCCAAAGGGAAGTGAGGTCACACTGTTGGTGCAGCGAGGAGGTATGTAGGTTGGTTTTGTTCTCTTCTGTTTTAATCTGAAATCCATTGCTTTGCTTGCTGATCTTCAAGGTCATTGCTTGGGTTTAAAAAATATTCCTTTAGGTTGATTTTATTTTTTTACAGTATTGGGAATTAAACCCAGGGCTTGGGCATAGGCAAGTGCTCTACCACTGAGCTATATCCCCAGCCCAAGATCATTTTTATTTAAATATTTGGCAATACTTTCAAAATGAAATGCTAGCCTTTTTAAAATAAAATTTATGGTTTATCTATAAACCATAAATTATAGCAGGTAGAGTCCTGCTTTAAAACATAAATCAAATTGTACCTTTTAAAAACCATTAAGATTTAATAGGACAGGCATAGTGGTGCACACCTATAATTCCAGCTACTTGGGAAGTGAAGGTCAGAAGGACTACGGTTTGAGGCCCACCCCAGGCAAAAAATTAGCAAGACCCCATCTCAATCAATAAGCCAGGTGTGGTGATGTGCACCTGTGGTCCCCGCTGCGCAGGAGGCAGAGGTGGGAGAATATCAGTCCAGGTGAATCCCAGGCAAAAATGCAAGACCCCATCTAAAAAAATAATTAAAGCAAAAAGAGGGCTAGGGGCATGTCTCAAGTGGCATAGCATCTGCCTGGGAAGCAGGATGCCTTGAGTTCGTATTCTAGTACCACCAAAAAAAAGTTAAGATTTAAAAACCTTTATTCTTTAAGAATACTGAGTTCGGTCTACAAAGGCCACAAACTCCTCCCACCTCAACCCCCTCTGCTCTCCCTCTCCTCACTGTGATTTATCCAACCTACCTTCTTTCCTAAAGTTACCTTAGTGTGTCAAGCCCTTCCCTTTGTGCCTTCCTGTTCCCTCTGCCTGGATTGGTCTTTTCCCAGCCCCCAGTTTCATTCGGGTCTCTTCCTGAGAGAGGGCTTCTGTGCACACTTTATTTAAATTACCCCCGACACGTCCATAATCTCTTCCACATCCCTCCATCATGATGGCTTTTATGACATTTTTTGTATATTTACTTCTTTGCCTTTGATTTCGTTAGAACACAAGTTCCATAAGGTCAGATGATGTGTTCACAGCTGTTATCCCCAGCACTTAACATACCAGACTCCTTTTAAATATTCACAGGTTAATGGATAGGTGTATGATTATATTTATACGTGGCAGAGCAATGACCTACCAGTCATATTAAAAATGTCCCTTGGCCTATTCACGTGGGAATGAAGTGGTTGAGGATCTCAGAGGACTGGGATCTTCTAAATCTTGAGACACTCAGCTTCCTTCCTTCTTTCTCCCTGCCTCAGCATCCCCTGTGCCCCTCTCAGTTCCACCAGCACTCCAAGGACCTCACATGGAGACATAATCCCACACATAGAAAAATGACTTTCTCCTGGGATATAGATGCATGACTAGTTGTGACTGCATGTTGTGCACAGTGACCTAAGATTGGTTGCTCCCCTGATCATTGCCAAAATGATTTGTTTCTTGCACAAAGACCTCTGAAAAGAGATCAAGCCCCAGACTTGGTTCCCTTGCAGTGAAGGAGCTCATTTATGTCACATAGCCACACACTCATGCTCTCGTGACGTTTCATGCTGTATGATCAAAGTGATTGGGGTCACTGGGAGGAAATCCAAGGTACAGTGCAACCTATCTGTGTGCATTGCTCTCTCAAGCCTTGCTGAGAAAGCTATTGTGCAGGTTTTGTTTTCCAGTACAATTTTGAAGTCTCTTCTTGTACCTTGACCACTTGGTTCCCAGATCGTTGTTTCTTTAAGAGTGACCAAAATATAGTTGGAAATAACGATGGAAGAATGAGAATGACGATCATGATGGTGATGGTGACTCTTGACAAGTCAGTGAATTCCAGAGTGGATTTGTAGCTACACGTGCCTCTCAGCTGACCTGCTCACTTCCCTAGGACTTAGGAAAGTGCCAGCCTTCTGAGTAGGTCACCTGATTCCCAATCTGGTACTCTGTCTGGACCGTTAATTCTGTTATGCTGTAAATTCTCAATAACACTGACTTTTGCATACTTGTTCATGACTGTAGCTAACAACCTGGAACCTTTTAAATAGTTCTTGGCACATCTTTGATCCAGTTCATTTGGCATTCACAAACCACTCTCATCTCCTCTCTAACCTATTTGCTTCCTTTGTTTCTATTATCAATATGATGTGTTGAGTTTTTTTATCCCATTAGCTTCACATTTAAAAGGACCAAACAGTCAGTCACAGTGGCTTACATCTGTAATCCCAGCTATTGAGGAAGCAGAGATAGGTGGATTATGGTTCTGAGGCCAGGTCGGGTAAAAAAGTTAGCAAAACTCCCATCTCAACCAATAAATTTGGGCATGGTGGTGCATGCCTGCCATCCCAGCTACACAAGAGGCATAAATAGGAGGTTCATGGTCCAAGCCGGCCTCATGCAAAAATTTGAGACCTTATTTGAAATATAACTGAAGTAGAAACAGCTAGGGGTGTGGCTCCAATAGTAGAGTGCTAGGCAAGTGCAAAGCCCTGAATTCAAACCCCAGTACCACCAAAAAATTTAAGCTAAAGGGACCAAAAAATAAAATCTCATTACCATCTCCAAAGTTAGGACTCTTATTGCAATAAATTTACCTAATATCACAAAACTGATTATAGAAACATACTGCTTGATTTTAACTATGTTTGTACTTCCTCTTCTTAATTCCTAAAACCTTCTTTCTGTTAATGCCATTACACTTTATAAGATTCATATGGAAAAATCCAAAATATATTGCCTCATTAGTCAACATCTTACATAGTTTATTCCAGAATCTGAGTAATTTAAAATCACTATAACATCAGCAGTCTTTAAAATATGCCATATGCCTTGCGTTTGATTTATGTATGGGATGGAATGTTTGTACATCTGCAGTTGGCAGGCTAGCACCAGCTCCTATTAATCTCTCTCAAAAGCATATAAATATATTTGTTTCTGGCAGGCATTAGTTGTTTGAATCAGGGCTGACATTTAATCATCCCTCCTTTAGGGTGGGGACGTGATGAGAAGGTTTCATGGAGGAACAGGACAGCAACTCCACTAAACCAGAGCCTGAATGGTCACTTCACTGATTGCTTCTAAGGAACCTCATTTCTATCCTAGCTCATAGTAAGCAGATTGATAAACTCATTGATAATCCATGCAGTGATTCTCAAGAATTCAGATTGCAAGGAGGAGGCTTTCTATGTGCTATAAAATGGGTCTTTTCTACTTGAGGGGCAAAAGTGGCTATTTTTTTTTAATTTTTATTGTTATATTATTCATATGTGCATACAATGCTTGGGTCATTTCTCCCCCCTGCTCCCACCCACTCCCTTACCACCCACTCCACCCCCTCCCTTCCCCCCCACCCTCTCAATAAAAGTGGCTATTTTTTATAGCATCTGTTTTATCATGTCCAAATTTGTTGTTAAGATCTGATAATGGTAATTTCACTTTTTTAGTACTTTCAGACTGCTGCTCCCTTTCTCCCCAATATGAAAATCAAACAGAGGCTAAAATACCTTTTATAAATTTCTCAGGTTAGGCTTAGAGTTGCTGGGGCTGTGCACCTGCGGGTTTGTTCACAAGCCCTTCTGGTAACACTTCCCTGCCTCTGGTTCAGCTCTCAGGTGTATTGGTTAAAGTGCAGCCCTGTCTGCCTCTGCCTGGCTCCCCATCTTCCCTTCCCCTTGTCCTTTCCTCCTTCTCCCTCTGCTGTCCAGTCAGGAGAGTACTTTTTACTTGTTTTTTTTTTTTTTTTTTTTTTTTTTTAATGTAGCATTTGCATTCAGAAATCTTGTCACTTGACACCAGTGTGAGTCCAGAGGCTTTTTTGAAGTGTTTAGAAAATCATGCTAGAAGAGGATTACTTAAGAGTAATTTTCTTCCTTAATTTACAGAAGATAGTGCCAAGAATGGTGCCTTGTGCTTGCAGTCTCAGCTATGAGAGAAGCATAGTTTGGCAGATCACAGTTCGAAGCCAGTCCCAGGCAAGAGGCACAAAATTCTATCTGAAAAATAAGCTGAAGCAAAAAGAGCTGGGGGCATGGCTCAAGTGGGAGAGCGCTTGAGGCCCTGAGTTCAAACCCCGGTACCGCACAAAAAAATTACAAAACTTGTAATTATAAAACTTATAATTACTTAAAAATTATAAAACTTGTCCTATAAAGTTTTAAAATATATATATTAAGGTTACCTGTACCCTTCTGTAAAATACTGTGCATCCTCAGCTATTTCATACCGACTATAGATGTGACTCTCTTTAAAAACTGATGTTTTTGTTGAATCTAAATACTGCATTTCAGGAAAAGATTTGGCGGTGCTTTTGAGAGAACACATGTATCAAAAAGAGACTTGAAGGGAAGGTGTCAGGAGCTGGCCTTTGGGTCAAGCTCTGCCCCAAAGCTGCTTTGATCTCTAGTCAACTTCATCCTACCCTGGCATTCCTTCCTTCCTCCTCCCTGCTCCTCCTCTCCCCTTCCCTCCCTCCTTCCTCCTCTTTCCCCCTCCCTCCCTCCCTCTCTCTCTCTCTTTCTTTTGCCATACTGAGGGTTGACTCAGGGCCTTGTGCTTGCTAGGCAGGCACTATCATTTGAGCCACTCTGCCAGCCCTTTTGGAGACAGGGTCTCACTTTATGCCTGATCTCAGTCCAGACCGCAATCCTCCTGTTCGTCTTCCCCACATAGCTGGGGATGACAGACTTCTACCACCATGCCCAAATCAGTGTTTGAGACTGGGCCTCGTGAACTTTTTGCCCAGGCTGACCTGGAACCTCCTGATCTCTGCTTGCGAAGTAGCTAGGATTACAGGCTTGAGCCACTATACCCAGCCCCGGCATTCATTTCCTTATAAAAAAAAAAATGGAGGTTTTGCACTAGAGAACCTTTTTGGCAGCCTCTCTGGGTCTTTTTGTTTTATGGCAGGAATGGCTGTTGTTATGTTGATGAAAGATCACAAGATTTTGGAGCTAGAGGATGAAATTT